TGCACAGGATGTGGATTGCTTTGGCAACGGGATATAAACGCTTCAAAAAATATTTTCAAGATCGCCAATGGCATCCTTCGTGGATGTGGCAGACCTCAAGCATTTTGTCGCCGTATCGAACACGGTTCTCCTTCTGGGGTTTAGACATTTACTCCTAGTATTCATAAACCATGCTTAAGTTTGTTGTGAAAACCAAGGGAATACGTTTTGCTTCTATGACTCTTATGTAGTTTTTTTTTGTTGCTGTTCATATAAAATCGAGCTATGATTTGTTTATACTTTTTTTATTATAAAATATTAATCAAATATCTCAAGTGGAGCAATTTTATCCATTGGAAACAAAAACTCGTTCTCTTCTTCTTCCATAAAGTAACTTGGCCATATCACCAGGTGTCCTTTGATATGCTTCAGCAAGTCATAAATCGTTTCACCACCGTGCTTAATGATGGGAAGAGTCGTCACAGCAGCAGCAGCGGCGGTTGTCTTTGTACCTCCGTGCTTGGTATCTGTGCGGCCTAGGAATAGCTTAGCCATTTTTATGTAGTGACGGTACTGGTTCCAATTCTTGATATTGTTGTCAGGCGCCACCAAGAAGGACCGCCGAAACAGATCAGTGTTGGACCTAGCAAGAATGTGCCAAAATTCTTGAAAGGCGTCGGCCAGTGGGTCTTTTAGTATATCATACACCTGGCCGACGGTAAGTCTTTCAGCGTCCTTTTCAAAGAATAAAGGCATCACGTTAGGGCTACAATAGTACTTGGGGTATGACGGGGTTTCTTGTCTTTCTGCTGCTGCCCTGACATCTCCATTGTTATCTGTGTCACAGTCAAGCGTTGCCCAAAAGCTCAAGTGGTCTTCTTTTGAGCTTTTACGTTTGCCAAACACGGACCTTGGGCGTGACGGAGAACTTTCTTTGCTGCTGAATGAAGTCGTCGTCAAAGGATCTCTGTCCATTGAGATGCTGTTGTTCTTGCATTCGTTGACCACTTTGGTCTTTTCTTGCTCTATTACTTGAAGGTCATGAACGGATAATGTACTGTTTGAGGATGAAACGATATCTTCTTTGATTGATGCCTTGTTTTCTTCCTCAGTTTGTATCTTTTCCTTTTCAATGATTTCATCAGCAGGCGAGACACACACTTGAATATAAGATGGTACACAGTCAGTAGTATTCTTCGTATCATGAACCGCTCCCTCATCCCAGACAGGTTGCTTTAGATACTGACTTGCTAAAAGGTCACCATGCACATATTTATCACGATCCATTTGATCCACATCGAGTCCGACATGCTCACACATCAATCTCATCCTAAGACTGTGTGCAAATTTCCCTGCTTTGAAGGGTCCCCCATTCAACATAGAATCCACATACTCTGTGTCTTCAATACAAGCCGCGATTTCAGAATCACGTGTGCCTAACTGCGAGCGCTCGTTGATATTTGCAGAACCAATGATCACTCTACGGTCATCCACAATCATGGCCTATCTATACATTAGAAACTTTTTTTTTTTACAATAAAAATATTCCGCTTATTACCTTGGCATGGATATACACTTGTTCAGTTACATACTGACCATTCAGTTCTGCCCAATTACGTAAGCCATAGAAATTGATGTACTCGTGAGTGTTTGTAATGCCTGCAGCATGTAATTTGGCAAATATGGAATTGGGTCCTCTGGAGATTGACAGGTATTGACACTGCATGATCAAGCGTACTGTTCTGGCCTCGTTTTCATCAATGTTAGCTGGGAATCCAGGCACGAGCGGTATGATGATGATGGCTTTCCATTTTTGATTTCTGTTTCTTGCTTCTATAATACGATTGACAATTGCTTCGCCTATGCCATTTTCAATCACCGTGTTTCCACTTTTTGTTGACGTAACGAAAAACTGATTCTCTAATATTGCATATATTAGCAACTTTGTTTTGTTACAGTTCAAGTTTTGCACGTTTACCTATGTATATAAAGTACTTTGATTCCCTTATGCTTTCAATATAGGCGTCCAAAATACTATGCTCCACATGATCGACCGAGCCAATACTCCAAGAGGAAACACTTCTCAGTATCTGAACCTTGCATGAGTCACAAGTATGCGGGTGACATAGTCGGTCATCGCCTGGGTCTAATGGTATATTTGTATCAGGTACGGGCAATAGCATGGGTGTAGGACGTTTAGGAGCTGATGGCTTCTTTCTGCGCAAATAGTTCCACCTCTGAACAAAATGTCGGGCAACATGTTTTGCAGCTTGGCCTACGATACGCATAGAAACGTCATGCCAAGGCATACGTGGTAGTGTGGATCTGTCCATGTTGTCTTCAAATGGTTTGTCGAGTGTATGAAAATCGATAATACGAGGATTTGAGTAGTCCTTTCCTGGCCAGATTTGTGCACGATCACCATTTGAATCAGGGCTGAAGTCATCTACTAGAATATGACCTGGCGTATCATATCGACCAAAGCACTTGTCGATGCCTCCAATGAATGCAATCTCGTTATCTACTACACATATCTTTTCATGATGTGCCCAGAAAAAGATACTGTCCTTATGAAAGACATCGAGGGCTCTTGAAGGATGGCGTTGTACATAAATGTTGGGTGATAATGCCAAAAGAGTACGCTTGGCAAGATGGGAGTACAAGGGGAGAGCCATGGCAACCTCTTTATACATGATGATGTACACTTTTATACCTTGATGTGCTTTGCGTCTTAATAGTCGATCCAATCTCCATTCTGGATTTCCTGAAGCAGGTCTTCTCAAATACTGTGGAATGTTGTATTAGATTAAGTTGGCAGATAAAAGAAAGTTGTTGTACTTACTAATTCCTGTATTATACACAAGAAAATACATAAATGGTAAAGTTAGCTGTTTATACCATATATTACATTATTAAAAAGTTTGAAGCTTACGGGTGACTATTGATTAATGAGTATAATCCTACTTGTTTATTGTGCTTATACACTTACTAGCCACCAATCATGAATATAAATCGTTTCCTTCGCGTTCTCCAATGCTACAGAAATATCCCAAAAATAGTCTCGTGCATCCACAAACCAGGCAGTAGAAGTGTTATGACACACTGGAGCAAAGCTACCAAACCTATGATTCTCGCACCAAATGGATGTCTTCATCATGCTCTGGATAGACAATTCAAACAATCTTGCATGCCTTTCATTTTTAGTTCGTAAATGATATACTCCTTGTCTATTCTTGACACACAATACAGATTTACTAGATGTCCAATGAGATGCGTTAGCTATCGCGTTACTGAGGGCCTTGGGGTTATTTATGTAATGGTTGGGTTTGTCTCCAAAATAGGATAAGCGATGTACATCAAAGGATTGATCAAATAGAAAGACATCATATGCATCTATCTATTATACATTTAATTCATCCAACAGTTTATCCTGCATACGTTCCCTCCCTTTACCTCACTTGGATCGTCTACTAATACCAGATAGCTGTCTCTAACAATTAACCATTTTGGCTTTCGCTTTCTGTTGATAAAAGCAGGAACACAGAATAGCCCATTATGTAAGGACTGTCGTACATATTTGGGTTCTTTGTCTGTTCTACTTTGAAGAACAACAAAACCTTCTTTCCCATGAATTCCATGATATTTTGCTGCAAGGTATAGCCCAAGTGTTGATATTTCTAAAAATCGGCAGATGCGATTGGTATATCCGCATGGTGAGATAGAGGAAACGAGTTGGTTCAAGTAATTTTCTAATGCTTCTAGTACTGCATTATCTGCCTTGACGACTTCAAATATCTGTGGTGACATGGTGGAAGCTGTATTTTCATTGTCAGCAAGATGTAGGGTATTATCCACCATCTCCATCACCGTCTCTTCATCAATTAGGGACGCAGGGGTATTCAAAGGGTTATTCAGCTCTATTTGCTTCTTTTTGTTCGGTGATCTGCGTTGTCTTTGAAAGTAGTGCTTTGGCAAACTTGGGAAAGGGGGTAAATTGGCTAAAGACACGTTCCTGTATCTGTAGTGGAGCTTGACAAAGTCCCAATAGGATCGATAAACAGACCACACTAGCTTGTCTTGTCCAGATCCATATCGTATAGTGATCTTGAAGACTGTTACACCAAACTTCTTTTTTCTGTACTCATCCTCTTCGGCCTTTGTAATATGAACTGTGATATTGTTCATGAATATAGGGATTCGATTCTGATTATCTTCGTCTTTTGTGAAGAACATGGCCATGATTAAAGGTGTAACCGTATTTACTTCTGCTTGCCTTTCAATATTTCGTATAGGCGGCTTGTTATTTGAAACTTGTCTCTTTCCAATCCACTTTTTTATCAACTGCCATCCTTCTTGAGGAACAGATTCAAAGCTATTCAAGACATGTCTTCCCAGGGGCGGTTTATTTTTTCTAGAGAGATCATCAACAGAAGTATAGGCATGACTTGATGTATCAGTGGACATCTTTAAAAAAAATACAAGGAAAAAAAGAGAGAAAAATCGATTTGATCTGTCAAGTCACACTTGTAGCAGAGTTACAAACTGCTGCATGACGAATAATTTTGATCATCGTAACCATTGGTATTAAGCTTTTTTAAATTAGTTAGTTACTATCCATATTGTCAATTGTATTTCAGCTCATTTTTCAATTAGCCACACACAAATGTGTTTATATCGTCAGATTGAGCTGTTCGTCATTTCAAAGATGTCATTACGCAAATCAGTGTAACTTTCCTTTTTAGGTGTTCGCTTGACGTGTTTAATCATTGTGAAAAACATACATCCTTAATATATATATATATATATAAACATTAGCTCAGTCTCCTATTTGTTTATCTTTTTTTATTATTATTATTTTGATATTTTATTATAAAAGTGTCTGCGCTATTTTGTCTCTGTCTAATATTCAAATAAAAGACATGTACTCTTTTAAAGCCAAGTCATATCAGCCTTTACAAGTATTATCTACTAGTTGTCATTTTATCTTTTGCCTGGCCCTCTTTATGCTCTTGCTTTTAAATGAGTCTTCTTCATAGTATATATATATCTGAAAACAAGCCCAAGCAAAGTTTGTCTTTAGCTAAATCTTATCCTTTCCAAACCAAGCACACAACTTGTGTTTACCTAATATAAAGTTTTAACCTAAAGTGAGATTGTTGCTATTAAGAGACCATTGCAAACTGTGAAATGAGGGCATACATCATATACACCAAAAAATAGGCTAATGTTCCGAGGGCTTCCTCGGAATGCTACCTTCACTGTATCATCGACATTTATACAGGGCATCCGTCAAAACAACATCTTTTTATTTATTTATGAGCAATTACAAACAAGTATTCCTCACTCATTAAAAAAAGTTTTCATGCACTACAATTAAAGAAAAGGCTTTATTTTTCTCTACTCCTGCTCCACGCGATGATCAAGAAACTACCGCTTACACTTTAATAAAGAAAAACAATCTAATCATATTTAAGGATAAGCATGTGTCTTATTCAACTTTACATTTGTTTCTTGAAAAATGTCTACCACTATTTTTGAAATAGTCTCCAAACAGTTTTATTGTGTCTCTTATCTCGTTTTAGGTTCAAGCCCTGTATCAGAATGGGGGTGTGCAAAAAGAAGTCTCCATGTTTGGGAGATCTTTATTACTCACATGCACCTCATTACTCTTTTTATATATTTATACTAGAAAAAGAGGAGTTTTTCATTATTATCTCTATATTTCTTTTGAAGGGGGTTTATTTCACTCTTTGTATTTCTAAACAATCTGTCTCTTTAACAAGATTCGGCCCTGAAAAATCTCACAGTCACAACAACTGGCGTTGAAAAGGGAAGAAAGGACAGAAAAATCTTTTTTTTTTTTTTTATATAGGTACAAAAGAAAGAGCCAAAGAGAGAGAGAAGGATGGATCAGAACACAGTCTATCAGTTATTCGTGGCAACATACCACTCTGATCCCAATATTCATAAACAAGCAGAAATAAACATTAGAAATGTAAACAATTCAATTAAACAATAGGCCTTATTGACGTGTTCTCTTATTATAGATTGAAGCAAATAACGGATTCTTACCGATTGTCTTACAAATCCTTGCTTCTGAAGAGTTGGAACTTGGCGCTCGACAAGCAGGTAAATCGTTTTATCATACAAAACAACCAAGGCTTATACTTCTTTAGCTGCTATTTACTTTAAAAATCGTTTAAACAAGGCGTGGGACGGTCAACGCGATTCTGCTGTTCCTATTAATGATGACGACCGTAACATGGTGAAACAGACTATCCTTCAAGCCTTGGTTACTGCTCCTAATCAAGTTCAGTAAGTGTCAAAACAATGTTTTCAATACAAAACTAACCAAACTCTATAGAGTACAATTGACTTCCACCTTGAACACTATTTTAACTAATGACTTTCCCGATAAATGGCCAAACTTTGTCAGCGAACTTGAAAAATTCTTGACCTCTACTGATGTCCGTTTAGTCTATGTTGGTTTATTAGCTTTACGTGAAGTAGTCAAGGTTTACCAGTAAGTAACACACATCACTTTAAAGTATATATCTAACTTGTTGATATAGATGGAGAACCAGCGAACGTCGAGAGCCATTTAGACAACTGGTCAAACTCACTTTCCCTGCTGTTCAAAATATTGCCTCCAGCTTGATCACATCAGATAGTATGGAAGCAGCAGAGATGCTTAAATTGGCTTTAAAGATTTATCACACTGGTATTCAAACCGAGTTACCCAAGTGTCTTCAAGATCCATCTTCCCTTGTTCCTTGGGGTACTTTGTTCTTGCAGCTGATTGAAAAGAAGATTCCAAATCAAGCCTTACCTGCTGATGCTGATGAACGCGAAAGATATCCTTGGTGGAAGACGAAGAAGTGGGCATACCACTGCTTGAATCGTTTATTTTCTAAATATGGTAACCCTGCTACCATGCCTCGTAGTTCACCCGAGTACAACAGCTTTGCCAAGAACTTCTCTGCCAATTTTGCGCCCAACATTCTTCAAGCCTATTTGAACCAAATCGAATGCTGGATCAAGAAGGAAATTTGGATTCCTAGCAAGTGCTTGGCTTTGACATCTTGTTTCTTTGCTGACTGTGTTAAAAACAAGACAACCTGGCAATTACTCAAACCACACGTGGATACACTCGTAGCACACTTTATCTTCCCTCAGCTCTGTTTCTCTGATGAAGATCAAGAGCTTTGGGACGAAGACCCTGTTGAGTTTGTACACAAGAAGGTAGACCCTCTCGAAGATTTCCATTCCCCTCAAACAAACGCCATGAACTTCTTAATCGACTTGGCTCGTGATCGTAAAAAGCACACCTTTATGGGTATATTGAACTTTGTCAATGGTGTCTTGAACCGATATCTGGAAGCTCCTGAAGACCAAAAGAACCCAAGAGAAAAGGACGGTGCACTTTGCATGATTGGTGGCTTATCCTATCAGGTCCTCCAAAAGAACTCACCTGTAGCCAACATGATGGAACCTTTCTTTGTGACTCATGTATTTCCTGAATTCAAGAGCAAGTACCCCTTCTTGAGAGCCCGTGCCTGTGACTTGACAAGACACTTTAGTGATTTGGACTTTGCTAATGAGCAAAACTTGGCTGCCTTGTATCAATATGTGACAGACTGTATTCGTGATTCTGAATTGGCTGTTCGTGTTCAAGCATGTCTTGCTTTACAGCCTATGATCCGTCATGAGAGTGTCCGTAACGCGATGGCACCCAGTCTTCCATTTATTATGCAAGAGTTATTGAATTTGACAAATGAAATCGATATTGATACTTTGGCTAATGTGATGGAGGAGTTTGTAGAAGTGTTTGCAGAGCAATTGACACCATTTGCTGTTCAACTCTGTACACAACTTAGAGACACCTTCTTGCGTATTATGGAGGATTTGAACCAAAACAATGCACTCAACAGTGCAGATGATGATGAATTTGATGGAGACATTGATGAATTAAGCGACAAAACAATGGCAGCCATGGGTGTCTTGAAGACGATTGGAACCCTCATTCTCAGTCTGGAGAGCACACCAGAAATCCTTCAACAGTTAGAAAATGCGTTGTTACCTGTGATCACATATACATTAGAAAAGAAGATCTTGGACTTGTATGATGAGATATTTGAAATTATTGATTCATGCACATTCTCAAGCAAGAGAGTGACACCTACAATGTGGGGAGTATTTGAGCTGATATATAGAGCATTCAAGGAAGATGGAGGAATTGACTATATGGAAGTGATGTTGCCACCTTTGGATAACTATATCTCATACGGACAAGATGTATTTATACAGAATGGACAAGTACAACATATGATGTTTGATATCATTGACACAGTGATGAAGAGTGATAGAACAGGAGAACAAGATAGAATTTGTGCATGCAAGTTAATGGAGTCTGTCCTGTTGAACTGCAGAGGTCATGTTGATATGTCCATTGGACATTTCCTCAACTTAGCATTCCAATACATCTTTACTGGATCTATGAAAACAACTGAATTCAAGGTTCATTGTATTGAAGTTGTCATCAACTGTTTGTACTATAACCCTGTCATTACGCTTAATCTACTTGAAGAGAACAATTGGACTCAAGGATTCTTTACATTATGGTTTAACACACTATCCAAGTTCTCAAGAGTTCACGATAAGAAGCTTGTTATTGTGACCATATCTACCTTATTAGAATTACCAATGGACATGATACCAAACTCATTACGTATGGGCTGGTCTCAACTGTTGACATGTATCATTAATGTATTCCAATCACTACCAAAAGCGATGGAAAACCGTGAGAACATGGAAAAATTATATGGCAACTTTGATGACGACTTTGGAGCTGAAGATTATTTAAGTGGAAACGAAGAAGAAGAGCTTTTAGACGAAGATGATGATGTACCAGACGAAGACAATGAATATTTGGAATATTTAGCTTCTCAAGCACAAAACAGTCACAATGATTTTGAAGATTTTGGCGGTGAAGAGGAAGACGAGCTGGAAGAAGAGATATTATTTGAATCACCATTGGATGAAATTGACCCATATATCAGATTTGAACAAGTCTTTAGAAACATGCAGCAAAATAATACTCCTTCTTATACCCTCTTAACGAAAGATTTAACTGCTGAACAACAAAATCAAATCATGTCTATCTTGTCTATAGCGGAACAACATCGTACAGCTGCTCCTGCTCCTACTGCTTAATCTTACACAATGAAATAGTATATTTTTTCTTTCTCTTTATTATATTATTATAGAAATATTTTTCTCTTTTTTAAAACGGATAAATGAATTTTTTGGAAAATATTTTCTTCTTTCTTTAATTCTTTATTGTCTATCAAAATGACTGATGACCAACAGCTTTGGGAAAGCTTTCAGTTTGAAGAACCAAAAGAAAGCCTTATTAGCTTACCAACACATATCATGGAACACATTTGTCGTCTACTAGACAATAGAAGAGATAAATATGAAGCCTGCTTGATTCATCGTAATTGGTCTATTGCAGCTATTAAAGTATTATGGGAAGCACCTCGTTTTGAAAGGCCTTATGACCTTCGTGACTTTGTAAAAGCTGTCAGTAGATCCAAGAAGCTTGCCTTGCTTGTTGAAGATTTGTATTTGGCTTATTTGGACATTCCAACTGATAGTGTGTTCAAAACTGTCGTACGATCCACGCTTGACCGTCATTCAGCAGAAGCTGCAAGGCCTTTAGCTGATGTCAAGTTTATCTTTATGCTCGCTAAGCTTTGTGAAAATATTCAGCGTTTGACTTGTTATGGTTGGCAACTAGAGGCTCATCAATTGGACCAATTGGCTACAATTGCACCAAAGCTAACTCATCTTCATATCATTGGCAACAATCGTGAAAAGACAATCAGCTTGAGCACTTTATTCCCAAGGCTCGAATCTTTGCGCTTGGATGGTGAATTCGATATAGACGACGCCTGGGTCACGTCCTTGATCAACAGAGCAATTCACTTGAAAGATTTGCAGATTTCTTTGAAAAACCTAAAGTTCTCCATTGTCAACAAACTGTGTACACCTGATTGCTTACAGCTGGAAAAACTCACCATCACGGAAGCAGCACAATTTAAAGACAATCATACAAGTCTTTTGGGAGCTTTCCTTAGCCTCAAGACTCTCCATCTAGAGGCAAGCGTGACGAGCCAAAGCGTCTTTCAGATCTTGAACAATTGCGCCTATATACAAAGATTGGAGATAAAAGGAGGTGGTTTGCCTCGCGGGAGTGACAAGACTGGCAGCAACCTTTTCTTAACAAGGAAACCAAGCTTACAAGTGCTCTTATTGGAAAATATGGACGTTGCAGACAGCGATCTGCAAGCTTTAGGCAGTGGGCTGGAGTCGTTGCAAGTGGTTGGACTTAAACGCTGCCCTCTTGTATCAAATGAGGGATTGTCGTCACTCCTCTCAAGCCAAAAGCATTTGAAAAAATTGGAATTAGTAGATTGCACCAATGTGGAGTCGTCATTCCTTTCAGCCATAGCAAACAGCACGCCTCACTTATCGTGTATCAAGTCTGTAAGAGATATCCTCATCCAATCGTGTGGAAAAGTAGAACCTGCTGATATTTATCAGTTTTGTTGCAACGCTATTCATCATAACATTCAGTCATTAAAACTCTACAACTACGACATCAAACCAATCGCAGCATTCAACAGTCAAAATTCACCAACAAACATCGTGTTAAACAGGGCAAGCATGGATGCACTTATTCACACCACCGACCCTTGTATTTGCCCAATTCCATCTGACATTACCTTGACTGGTCAGCAGGTCATGCTATTGGCAAAGCACCTCGATTTATCAACCAAAGAGCTAGCAACATTGATTGAACAAATCAAGCAAGTTAGTCTTCCTCTCTTTGCCCATTATCATATATATATCTAAACCATTGATCTTTCTTTCTATATAGGAAGACCAACAAGAGCAGAGACCCCCACCAGGTAAATTCGTCAATATCTTTTTATGTTTACTGTTCCTGATGCTTTTTATTAGTAACTACCATACCTTTGAAGAAAGAGCACAGAATATCATCATTGAGAGAATCACCTCGACCTACCACACCTGCCATCTTCTCAAAAGATTTCAACGATAACGGATCAATCTCTGTCATGAATGATGAAGAACTTACTCTTGGTGGATGGGGTGTGAGCAGTGGCACGGCAAAAGACTTTTGGTCTAAGCCTGCTGAAAGCGTACCAGCACCTCCCAAGCAGCACTTCCGTCAGACAACGAGTCACTATAGAAATAGCCCATTGATTGTAGAAGGTGATGGTTGGGGTGAACCTTCAAACTATGTTCCTTGGGATGATCTTCGCACTCAAGGCTTTGCTTATGAAGTACTTGAAGAACAAAAGCAAACTCCTTATTGGACTCAAAAGGAGGATGGCCAGTGGGTTCAACTTGGCGTAGATGATAAATTGCAAAATACGACCGATCAACCAAAAACCGATGGTAATGCTGATAGAACTGCTTCTCCTCTATCATTTTCCGCCATCCATGAGGCGACATCCGCCAGCTATGAAAATAAGAATGTGTCAAGTGTGGCATCAGTCATTAGTACTGACGAAAGTTTCGATTGGGATGATATTAACAATAACGATGAAGATATTGTCGTCAAAGTCAGGCCCGAATCTCCACCAAGAACCAAGCCAACTCCTGTTACCAATGCAGAATCGTTGCGTAATACGTGGACAAGTCCTAACAGGCCAAGTTCTGACAAGAATCGCAAGTCAAATAAAGGATTGCGTCAAAATACCCGCCATAGTCTTCGCGAACCGATAGCCCAAGAACAAAGAGCAGGTCGATGGAAGGATACCATTTTTGATAATCTTGACGAGCCTACATTTACTGGGAACAATTTGCTAGAGCCTCCACCTCAACAACAACAACAACAACAAACATATGACAGCAACTCTACAAATCTCTTAGTTGACTTGGATGATGACAAACAAATTATGTGGGGATCAACCTCTATTCCACCTCCTATGAGCTTGAATAATGAATTATTGTTACCCAATCAACCACAAGCTCCAAAGGAGAAAGAGAACAAGCCAGCCAATATATTATTTACAGACTTGGCGCCAGGAACAACCACAACATATGATGATAAACAAGGTCAAATGCATGACTTTAACACTTTAAGTGACATATTGACTTCTTCACAGCAGCATATAAAAGAACAGCAAGATACTCCGTCCTACAGCAACAGAAACTCTTCAAGTGATATAGCAAACCGTTTTCCTTCTCCTGATTCCATGCAAGAAAACTATATGAATAACAATGCCCTTGTTAGCCAACTGTCTTCCTTATCTTCTCAGACGATTGGTGTTTCTGATAATCAAGTTCCTTTAAACTCTAATGAACTCGCGGGAAGCAGTTCTTCTCGTCAAACAAATGACGATGCGCCTCCTTCTCCTTCCTCGTCTGGTTCAAGAGAATTGAACAATGAAGAACCTATGAATGACAATCAAATTACATATGCTCGTCCGCCAACTCCCCAAACCAAAGAAGACATAAAAAAATACTACAAAAATCTCCCCAACTATCTCACCTTCATCAAGGTAGTCGTTGATAACGACACCAAAGAAAATAGGCTGTTGGTCATGTATATGGTAAGTGTAGGTTAGGATATGAAGAACCCCCCTCTTTAATACTATTTCATTCGATAGGACGAGCCTCTCAAAGAAACTTTACAAAAGTTTTGCGAAAAATACAACTGTACCGATAAAGTTGAAACCCTATACCAGAAATTGAAGCACACTTATATGAAAAAGCATACGCAAAAGATATTCAAAAAGAGTAAAAGAAAGGACTCTATGATACCTTCTGCCCCTGTCCCTACTGCTAATCACGAGTCCATTTAAATAAAAATATTGTATCATTTAGCTCTTGCTCACATTAGGGTGTACTTGAAGTAACAGCTTTTTGTGATTTTTATAGACATTTAGGTGGCTTGTTAGTAATACACCAGAAACCATCATCATCTTTACGCGTTTTCTGTCTTTTATTTTGTAAAGCTCCAAATGACTATGGACTATGCTACCGAGAAAAAGCTTCGACCACTCTATGGTTAGTTGTGACAATAGCTGGTTATTATGGGAGAGGTGCTTATAACTATATAAAAAAATAGAGGCAATTGATGAAGGGCAAAACAAATTAGCTTTACAACACTGTGCCAAGTTATTGAAAAAGAATCCAGACTGGCCACTTGTCAAGGCAAATATCACTAGAATATCACAATATAAAACTCATCATTCACACTGGGGGAATAGGCTTTGAAATCACTTACCCTTGTGCGTTCAGGAAAAGACAGCGAGGCATTGCAACTGTGCGAACAGGTCAAGAAGGCAATTCCAACCGATGAACCTACTCTTCAAGCTGTTACATTAGCTTTGAAAGAACTTGGGAAGCGTAAAGTATTGTACTTGTTTGCTTGACCAGGGACATAACCACATGTTTTGATAGACAATATGATTGTTGAATTATATGAAAATGCGGCAAATCAACAACCAAAGAATGAAGAATTTGGTAACCAATGGTTCATGGCCATGGTTCGCAACAATGACTACAAAGGACAACAGGCTGCAGCTGTGAAGCTACAGCGAGTATTCAAAAACGACAAATATCTCTTTTGGGCCATCATGTCCTTGGCCCTTCAGGGTCAAAATGGAAACATGCTATCTTATACCTTGGCGGAACGTATGATGGCAAAGGCCTTAGAGGAAAAGAGGTTGCAGGAAGTAGAGCATTTGCGTCTCTATTTACTTATTTTGATGGATCAGAAAAAGAATAAGGAAGCATTGGATCTTTTGCTGAATAATGAACTCGGCAAGAAGGCTCTCAGAGATCCAGAGGTAAGACAGATCAAGTCTGAGTTGCTTCGTGACAGCAAAAGATGGGCAGAAGTACTTGTTCAAAGTCAAGAGGCTTTAGAAAAAGAAAACTCGGATGATTGGTTCAGTTGGTTAGCTTATTTTGAAGCAGTAGAGGCACTAGTAGTAGAGGAAAGCCCCGAAAAAGTAATAGAAGATGCCAAAAATTTAATTATGACAACACAAAATATGGTCCTTGACAGCAAGATACTCAAGCGAGGACCTTTCCTGGCTGAATTGGAGTTTATACATAGACTACACAAGATTGGTATCAATCAAGGTATATAATCTTGTCTTTGTTAGGTTATCCTTACCTATTATCTTGTAGATCAGCAATTGTTTTTGGAAAAAATCACTTCTTATTTTGCTCGCTTTGGATCAAAGAGTTGTGCGTTTGAAGATATCCAGGCCTACATTAGCTCCCTAAGCCAAGATAAGGAGAAAGCTAGTCATTTGATACAGTCTATGAAGGAATTGATAAAGCCATCCTCAGATATGTCCACTCAAGTCAAGAACGTTTATATGAATATCAATATCCGCAAATTTGAACGCTCTTTGGGTCTTCATCAAACATCAGATATACAGCAAGCGCATGATGTCGTCAATGAGCTTTGGCAACAGTATCAAGATGCTCTGCCTCTCGGAAAAGAACTGGAAAGGACAGAATTACAGTATGGAGATGAGTTTGTGATCTTGGCAAGTCATATTTTACTTGATCTCTATTGCCAACACGAACAGAGCTCATTTATAATAGAGGCCATCTCTCTATTAGAAATAGCCTTGGCAAAGAGTGTTTACAACTTTAGAATCAAGCTAATGTTGGTCCGTCTGTACCTGATGATTGGTAATTCCTTTATGGCACAAAGAAAGTGTTAATAATAACTTGCTTAAAATTAGGCGTTTACAAGCGTCCATTCGAGATTTACAAGACGATGGAAATTAAACAAGTACAATTCGATACTATGATGTAAATGTAGGGATGTTTATATAAAGGGCAATATCACTAATTTGACTTTTTCATTAGACACTATTTTACGGATCGATTTATCCCCCTTGGATGCAGTGACGATATAGAATCTGTTCTAGTTGATTCCATGCAGATCTATAGAGGAAACGAAGTAGAGGTATGATATCACCACCATGTTAGCAATAACCAGGAGAAAAGCTTATAATACATTTGATAGACTCCTGAAATGCTTGTAAAAGCATATCAATACGGCACTTATTCCAAGGTATGTTGCTTTATAGGTTCGTTATCAGTTATAATTAATTCTACTCAAGATTCAAGAGTTTATCGAGTTCCGTCGCCGCCTTGACACCTCCCTTCAGCACACTGTTACGCAAATCGAACTTAAGCGTATTGATTTTATCCGTTCTTCCTTCCAAGCTAAATATGCTGTTCAGTACTTTAATGAGAATGATGTCAAGGAATTAAAATATGATGATAAGCACTTTGAAGCAGCGTCTGATAACAGAGACTTTAAAGTGTTTGCAAACTACAATAGCAGCGATCAACCTTCAGCCGAAGAGATTTGCAAGCCTGCAAAAAGCACCAACAAAGTATGGGCTCAAATGTATAGCTACATTTTGAATATTTTGGACGCCGTTTGTGCTGCTAAAGAAAAGAGGGACCTAAATGCATTGGTACAAGAGGCTGAAAAGTTCATTGCAGCTGATGATATCAAAGAAAACATTACTGTTCAAGAGCACTACTTGGCCAGCTACATCACCCATCTTGCAAGCGCGTTAGCATCCATTGAAGCAAACAAGGCCTCTGAAGCAACGGACAAGCTTAATTCGGCGATATCCATTATACAGGAACAATGTAAGTTGATAACCTAAAAAAATTGCAATGTGGATCTCTTAGGGCTATTTATAGTCTGTAATGTAGAATCGTTTTCAGAAAACAACACTAGTTGGAATACATTTCACAAAGTATTCAATACCTTGGAAGTAAATAATCATACATACAAGATATTCCTTCACATGCTTACCAAGTGTATATAGGCATTCAGCTATACTCTTGTCTTGGTAGAGGCCATCAACCGATCTTTAGGACTGACTAGCAAAGAAGCCAAAAGAAAAGCAGCTGAGGCAGCCGAGAAAGATAGTCTTGTAAGACCCTACTCAATTCTCCTTTATTGATATCAATTAACCTTAACAAAATAGATGGCGTGTCTATTCAAGTTACAAGAAGCGTCTAAGCAATCCTTACAACAAATGCAAGTCGTAGTCAATGCTGGAAAGGATTTATTTAGAGTTCAATTCCAAAAGAAACTTTTCAAAGAAGTAACTGATTCTGAAAAGTCTGCAGCTTGCTTATCTTTAAAGGACTATCAAAACACCATAAACCATCATATAAAGATGATAGTATCTAGCTGGGGTCAATCTGTGATCAGACTCTCAGAAGAGATTGATAGACGTTTACAGAAGTTATAAAAATAAAAGATTAATGTTTAACCCTTCTTTTTATATTCTTGTGGTGCCCTGAGTCTATTATGAATTAAAGCGTCATAGGATAAAGGTAGATATGGATAGTTGCATGCTAAAGAGCCCCTCCTTTTTTTTTTTTTTGAAAGCAAAATCCACGTTCTCTGTAAGACATTTAAACATCCAAGTGGCCATGTTTAATTTGTGTGTGTATGTATGTTTCTAAAGAAAGAACTCATCCTAAATCACGTGGGTATATATTTATAATTGACGCAAGAGGAGCAACATTGAAAAGGAGGAAAGAGAGAGAGACAAAGAAAAAGAGTTACACATATGCACATCTGCAGAAATTGAAAATAAAGAAAGAAAGAAAGAAAAACCACTAAAAAGAGAACTGTAATAGAACAAAAAGTAAAAATGAAATGCTTTATTCTGCAGGTATAGGAGTGTTTTACAAACCTTAATGTTCTTTTGAAGGAAATGACATGGGGCTATCCATCAGGGTTACCTTTTTATTATCATAGGCTGATGCCCTTTATGATATGAAGCAGCAGAACATTTTACCCTATCAAGTTAATAAACAACTGTTTCTATTTAAGCATATTACCGCCATAAATAGAAGAAAAGCAAGAGGAGCAAATTTTTGACTAGGAGGAAAGAGTTGCCCCTTTACTGTTTAGATAAAAACAACAGATATTGTTCCCTCCCTTTTTTTGCACATCCCCTTATCGTCTTTATCCCCTGTTTTCAATTCTCATTTGTTGATAAACATATAAATATATGAATGGGAGCATGCAGTCTTTCAAGGACATTTCTTTTCTTTCTCTTTAATTCCCTTTCATCAGCTTGCTACTTTCTCTTTAAACAAAGGTGTGTGTAAAATCCTAAGTTTCAATGTGTATACTGATCCACTCTAGTAGATGCCTAGACAAAACCCTTTCCTTCGTCGTGCATCTTCGCCAGGTGACATTAACAATAACGAATCAAATGGTCCAATAACGTCTGCTCCACCCGTTCCCTCTTTTCATCCTGGAAAATTAGCCCAAGCTTCTCTTTCCGAATCTGCATTAAAGGTGCCTTTAAAACCAGTAGCGTTTAAAAACACTCAGCCAAGAGCAACCAGTATGCGACCATCGAGATTTATCAAAGCTTCCACTCCTACTTCTTCGACATCTTCACCTCTTGTAGCATCTGACCATAGCAACGGTAAAGAGACGCAGATCGTGAACAATTCAGAAATGACCTCATTTATTGGATTATTTGAAGCCTTTACACAAAAAGTTTATATCGAAGGATATTTGATGCGGTATAATGACACAGAATGCAGTAACAGTAGCACGGTCTCCTTCAGCTCGGATGATAGCCAACAAAAAAAGACAAAGACAAAGATGTTTGTCGAATTAAGTGGATCAACGCTCATCTTATGGGACGCGGAAGCACCTGGAAGCAGTATAATGCCAACGTATACACAAATCATGGATACAGCTACAATCTATGGTGAAAGCATTGAAGGTGGTAATAAAAAGACAAAATATGTCTTCACTCTCTGCAGCAACACAAAATCCAAAACTATGTTTGAGACCTCGGATTATGCAACAATGGTGAGATGGGTGAGCGCCATCCGATTGTCATGTTTTGAAAAGCAAAGATTACATCAACTGTTTACGCATAAGCTATTGATAAGCAAGGAATCTGAAGAGCGAAAGAGTATGAACTCGGCTTACCTTCAAGTAAGGGTGCCAGGCACAACGTTATGGAAAAAGTATTGGGTGGTACTGCCTGATGGGAAAAAGACAAAAGCAAACAAGGCACAACATGTGTCATTGTATGGATCAAAGAGATCAAAGACACCCCTGCTGACGTTATCTGATATAAGCCATGTCTACGCTATCTATCCAGAGTCACCGCAGTTGATAGAAAAAGGATCCATGATTAGAGTTGATTGCAAAGTGAATGATAAAGAAGAAACTTGCTGGTTTATGGCAGATAAATGTGAAGTGACAATTCAGTGGCTCTTTAGCATGTTTGACAAGTTTAAGCTCTATGGACGACCGCTTGGCCTGCTGAATGACTTTTTGAATCCATCTTCGCTCAACTTTGGTGAGCCAATGCAAACATCAAGCGGCGTACAAAGACTGTTTCTTGAAGTTGATCAAGTGATAAAAACTATGGATATTGCGTCTATCCCAGTCAAGCATATCGAGGAAACATTCATGGAAATCATCAAGAACAGTCAGTCTTTAGAACCTCCAGTGATCAGACCTACAGGACTAAGGGCAAATAGTCTACCTTTGATTACAGTGATATCAGCTGATGGTGATGAGCAGATAACCCAACAACGGTCCAGCTCTGACAATATTGCGGCTCTTCACGGTGATAAACAGAATGGTTCTGAGACAGACTCGACTAACTTGTCATTCAAGTTTGCAAGGCATGTTGCTGACTCTAGTGATGAAAGCGACCAAGATGACGAGGATATTGAAGATGAAGAAGAGGAATATGATAGTGATAATGAGCCCATCGGAAGAAAGACAAATAGCAGGACCAACTCAACTGTTGCCACGCCTTCCCCTGCCTCGTTTGCAGATAGTCTTATTCCCGATTTTGACTTTGGTAATGGCTTTGATGTGCCTAAAGATGTTACTGCAGCCGCTGTAGCAGCAGCGGTAGTTAACGCTTCCAGCTCATTATCTTCCTCTTCTGTAACAACTTCAAACAGTCTGGATGAAGAATACACTATACCCAAAAAGCACATTCGCAAGTTATCGGTACCAGTGAATGCTAGACATGGCTCCTCATTAAATGAATCACCTAGCTCAAACAATCAAGAGTCCTCCCTGTTTGGTGATTTCGACTTGACTGGCGATTTTGGAAAGTTTTTAGATCTGCCAATGGAGCAACATCAGCGTAAATACTCGTTACCAGCTAAACTATCCTTCGACAGACCAAGCGAATCAAGATCTACTACATCTAGTACGCACAGTAGTCACCATAACAATAGCTATCATAACCACAACCGCCAATGGGAGCTGGATTGGAACAATGAAATGCAGGGTGCTGAAAGCCCTCAACATAGGTCAAAGCACCCCTATGATGATGACTCGTACGATTCTGACTTTGATGGCCCCTTGATCCCTTCATTAGGTGATCACTTTGCTCCTCAAAATAGCCTATTAGATACTTATCTTGGCGAACATCTGAGTGCTAAAGAACAAGTGGAATATGCTAAAGCAACTGGTCAACCTCTTATACAAATGCCAGTCAAGAAAGAGGGTCTTCCACAAGGAGGTTTAGTTGGTGTCATTTCCCAGCGCGAGAAAGACAAGAAGGAAGGAAATGGTTTTAGAGTAGCCGAACGAGTTAATCAACATTATCAAGATAGGATAGAACGAGAAAAAGAACGGAGGATACTAGAACAAAGACAGCAGCAGATCATGAAGCATCAGGTATACATACCCCTAGTTATTAATTAATCCATTCTAATATCTCCCCCTAGATGATGCTGTATGCTAACGGATATGGTATGCCAATGATGCCATTCGTAAATCCCATGATGAATCCGATGAACTTTATGGGTATGATGCCTGTCTTCCCTGCTCCAACAAATAATAATAATAATAATAATACATCACCATGCATGACACCTCCACCGCATCCACCTTTAAATAGTAATGCATCAAGTCCTCACATGTCGCATATGCGACCCATGTATGGTCCACCTTCGCCAATGAATTACCATTATCAGTCTCCAAGTCTATCTGCACCGCTTATGAATAGAAATAGTCCTCGTCAATCAGAAGAACTGGATGCAAACAGTGGACCTCTTTTTAGAAAGCATTCAGTATCTCCTCTTTCTTAATCCTACACGCAAACATACATATACACCTGTTTTCTTAAAAAAGAAAACTATATTTCGAATTTAAAATTGTTTAATATGCAAATAAAATGCTTAAGTGAATTTATTGTTCACTATGTAAATTAATAAAAATAGAGTTAGTATTAAATGAAGCCAATATACAACAGCACTTACGTGAAAATAAAGAGATTATTAGTAGCAGCAACAGCAATGGTATTTTCTCTAGGATGATAAGAAGCGTGAAGTATTTTCTTATTATAATCCATATAGTCATTTGCCTCACGACGTGTAGCTCTTGTCTGACCGATAATAGTACGATTGTTCATGGCCTTTGCACCACCCAGTTTTTTGGATTTAAATACACTCTTGTCAGCTTGTAGCACCACTTCACTATCATCATTACGTCCAAATATATGAATATTGTTGCTATAAGAACCAGTCATCAGGTTGCTAGGGATACAGTAAGTTATGCATACACAATCATTTATACATCACATACTTTCCGTCGCCACTAAATGAGCATTCAAACTTGTCAAATATACAATCGTTTTCGTACAAGTCACATAGTTTGGATCTTAGATTATCATGAATATTGATTGTTCGTAAAGGTTTCTTTTCCATATTGACATCCCAAATTTTTAGCGTTAAGTAGTCTCGAGATATAATATATCTTCCATCATTACTAAATTTCGCGTCAGAAATTGAAGATATGATTTCCGAGAAAAACGATCTGCTGGATGGATCTTCAGCCTCCTCAAAGACTATGCGCCGCGATGAGTCCGGGGGCGTAGAGGTACTTTATATATTTTTTTCTTTACCCTTTGCATTTTGATCGCATAGAGCAGACTCTCTCATGTCCGCTAATTTAATGGTTCCCTTACTGCTACTATATATGAATAAATTACAGTGTTGTGGATGAAATTCAGCAGAGGTGATCACTTCAGTGAGCTCCTCCATATTTGCTGGTTTGATATCAACAATGTCTAGACTAGAATAAGCGCCTGTCTACAAAAAGATAATCCTTTACTTACTAAAGCTTTGATCAGAAATATCCAAATTCCATAAATTGATTCTTAAATCGTCAGCAGAAATGTATGTTTCACTGTCAGAATTAACAGAAATCGAATTAATATGGTAAGCATGAGCTACAAAAAATATGGTTAAATATCATGCCACTTTCGTACTCCGTCCTAGTTACCGTTTGCATAGATTCGTCGTGGAATAGCAGCGACAATAGTATCTTGGTAGCTCATTTTGGGTAGACTCAGCTTAGGCTTTTCGGTAATCATGGTTGACTCGCTAATCACTCTAAGGCTTCGTTCGTATACTTTCCAAAGTTTGATGGTTTTATCTTGAAAAATAGTAAGTTCATAGTCATCTTTCTATATCATGCTTACCATTTGTTGACAGTAAAAAGTGAGCAGAATTCTGTCTTTTACACCATTTGATCTGATTAATCTTTTCTTCAATTTCCAAGCTCTTCAAATAGTCAAACTCTGGCTCATGGGATTGAAATTCTGTGTGAAACCGATATTCACAGCCTTTTTTCTACGGTGGGTAAAAGAGTCAAGAACTGTTTTATTCAATCTAGTGTACTCACATTCTCGTTACGTTCAAACAAGACTACTCTACCACCTTTGTCACCCGTTGCAAGGTAATCTCCTGTGTGGTCAAATTCAACAGCAGAGATAATATCGGCTACAAGGCAAATTAAGTTTGTAATCATTCTGTGCGTCTATTTTTTCTCTCTTTTGTGTACCTTCTGTAATGTCGTCTGATTCTCCCTTGTCTCCAAAGCATTGAGCAAATCTCCATTTATTTTCGTTGTTTGTTGAAGTTGGAGCAGCTTGCATTTATTTAATAATTTACACAATTAACGCGTCAATAAAAAGAGAGAGAGAAAGATAAAAAAAGAAAAAAGAAAAAGGAAAAATATGCTTCCCGATTCTTGTATCGTTTATAAACTTAAAATTCAGATAAATGCCAGAAAAGGGGAAGGTCATTTTTTATATTAACAATATTGATACCCTGCCCTTGCTTCTTCTCGAGTTGGAAGAATAAGTTTTACTTTTGTCTTTTTATTGAAATCATCCCACTGTACCTTGTTCAGATATTTCAAAACTCATTTATACTCATCAAAGCATGTTCTATTCATTTTCTCCCGAATCTTCAACTATCTGGAGTCATATTGAAGCCAAGGATGCTTTACTTATTCCATCCAAAATCAACAAGATGGAACAGAATAATCATTTCCTTTCTCCTTTTATTTGACTAAACAACAAACGCCATTTTTCCCCAAGGTCAATGACACATCAGGTCTGTGTTACAATGCATTTCTAGTAATGCAAAGAAGGTGCGTGTGATGCATATCGACACTAACTTTATTACAGAAAGAATATTTATACAAGAGTTTTATGATGATGTCTCTACTTGATTATCAGACATGCTCAATCGAACGGATGATTCATCTGAACTTTGTTGGTTTTGAATAGAGTCACCAGAATGTTGCTTTTCTTTCTTGAGGGCATTATAACGTTTGGCTGGATCAGGATCTTGGGGCTTTGGTACACCAAGCTCTTCTGCTTTGGTAATCGCCAAATTGACGCGCATAGCTAACCGATACTCAAAATCATATTTGGAGAATTTCAAGGCTGTTTCCCAGAAGGATCGAGCTCTTGTTCTGTTGCCCATTCCCCATGCAGTAACGCCTGCTTCCCAAAAGGCGAAGGGAACAACCCATTTGTCGTACACGATATTGTCCTTGTGATCTATAATCCAGTTGAGATGAATGATGGTATCCTTATATCGGCCCATTGCGTTAAATAGAGCAGATTTGAGAAGAAGCAAAACACCACGCTGATCAAAATACTGTGGTGGAGGTGTATCTGGTAATAGCTCCTTCACACGGATGCCGAATTCCGTTTTTTCTGCTTCTGCAATGCTGCTCAGCGCCTTATCCGTTGCCTCTAATGACTTTTGCATTGACTCATCCGATATGAAATCAAAGCCAGTAAAGATGTAAAGGAATTCCAAAGCACAGAGAGACATGTCCATATCTTGATAGCCCGTATCCTGAAAATTGTTCACTTTACGCTGTACGTATTTTTCAATCAGTGCTGTACTGTGTGATTTGGCACCAGCGAGCTGAGGAACTTCTGCATAGGCTAAGATCGCATCTGTTCGATTACCAGTCATGTCTAAACATGCACCTGCCAAATAGCGAAAGATGGCTGGAGACCAGTACTTGTCTTTGTATAACATATCATATATCTTAGCAGCCTCCTCCCAGTTATGTTCCATCATATGATTGAATGCAATCTCATAATTACAAATATGTAAGACTTCTACTTCGGCCCATTCGCTTTTGCTAATTTCTATAGCATATGTGAATGATTGTGAAGAAAGTGTTAGATTGCGTGCAAGACGAGACGTGCGACCAGCAAAATAAAGGAAGAATGCAGAATTTGGATAAGTGCTCTGAGCATCCAATAGGGTCTATACAAAAAGTTTAATCAGCTCATGTCCTGTAACCATAGCTTTTTTTTTTCTACCTCAATCGCAGGCTGTGTATATTCATCCGATAACATCTGTGGGCATAGTGATGTAAGAACAGTATAATAAGCCAAGAGCCTTGAAAAATATTAATACATGCTATAATTAACTATCATACACTTACATAAGTGATGACATAGGTGAACGAATTCTTCTGTCTTCCAGACAAAGCTTCAACAAGGCAAAGCCAAGATGTTTATCAGCTTTCCAACCAAAAGCTGATACGACTCGAAGGATCTTTTGAGGAAGAGTAGAAAGGACGAGATGAACTGCACCAATACTATACAAGGAAATCATTTAGTTCTCTAGGTTGGCTTTTTCATCCCCTTTAGTTACCCAAATTGTATTCCAGAAATGGTATCGCGATCGATAAATTCATTGTAAACCTGGCCCATACGCTTATATTCTTGCCAAACCAAACTATAGCTTGCATAGGCTATGAATAGTCATGTCAGTCACTATTCCTTCTATATATTATATATATACCTCTTCGCAAATTCATTCCGCACTTTATATAACCCATCACATTTTCCTGAAGCAACTGCAAGATGGCAATTTGAAGACAGCATTCGGCCTTTGCAACATGAGCTCTCAATACACCATTAGGGATAAATGTGATATTCTCCTTTTTAATCGACTTGAGTGTTGCCGGTTTGGGACTTGAAGGTAAGCCTCCTGATCCGCGAGAAAATTTGATGTAGTTGTAGTAAGATGTCATTGCTTGATATACAGAGTTGCCTATATTCTTTTTCGTTGCAGCATCAATTTGGGCACTGGCAATGCTGTATGTCGTCGTCAATACATCAATAGCGTTCTTTGTCATTGAATCGTCCGTCGTCATGACAGCTATAGAATATACGTTGATATCGGATTGGCCTTTGATCAGCTGATTTCAAAATTACCTTTTAAGAATGCCATGGAGCCTAAACCTAAAGCGGATAATGGATCACTTTAAAAGGATGCTTCAGTATAACCTCTGGAATATGTCACTATATTGTTTACTTGGGATCTTACTGCTCAGCTTGCTGTTCAAAGAGTTTCTTTGCTTTCATAAAACGATTGTTAAACAAATGACGCACCGCTCGAAGGACAGGTTCATCTGATAGAAAAAAGGTAAACAAGATGTGAATAAGAATTATTACCCTTTACCTGCTCTCTCTTGGTCTCGTGGTGAAAGTGTATTTGCCTTGATTTCCTTTGCATTAATCTTGTTTAGAGCTATGAGATTTGCACTATGACCATCAATATCCGCAACATCATCATTTGCGCCAAAATCTAAGCTTTGTCTCTCAGGGGGTATACCAGGTGTTGGAGGAACAATATCCTGGACTATTTCTTCGAATGTTTGGGGAATAGGTACTTTCTCTTCCTCTTTTTCTTCTTCTTCTTCTTCTTTTGAGGTAGCCAAAGTGGATATAGAGTTATTATCTTCCATACTATTCTTAGCGTCACTTTCACTATCTTCAACCGTCAGACTGCGAAGGTCTTCGGTTGATTCTTCTCCTTCAGGTTCTACTTGAGGAGCTTTAGTTTGTTTCTTTTGATTTACAGTAGACTGTAAAGCGCTGATGACCAATCCTAGTTCCTTTGAAGATTCCTTAGTGTCCTCATCGCTTGAGCCTGTGCCATCATCATTCTTGTCTTCTTTCGTTTTAGGCAAGTCATCAACAGATGTACGGTCTTTCTCGTCAGCAGGTAAGGTTACTTCGGTCATTTTATAAAGAAGAAGGTTTAAAAATTTTCAATCAGTCTATTTCCTAGACAACAGAGTTCCTTGTATCACATTAATAAAAACATAACACCGATTCGCATTCACACGTTAAATTTATGAAGAAGTTCATTTATTTTTGTTTATTCTTTAAGCTTTAACAGGACGAGTCTTTCCAGCCAAGAGACGGGCATTACGAGCTAATTGACGAGCATTGAGCTTGACAACCTTCTTGTCAGTAGCACGAGGAACAGCTTCTTCCTTTTCAGTAAGAATGACTTCAATGTGGGAAGGAGAAGACATGAAGGGGTTGATTCTACCGTGAGCACGGTAGGTACGACGACGGTGCTTGGGAGCTTGGTTGACAATGACGCTGGAGATGAAGAGTTCTTCAACGTTCAAACCCTTGGCCTATAAATAAGTAAGTATCTCTTTCTCACCCATTGATTATTATCTTACCTCAGCGTTGCTTTCGGCGTTCTTCAAGAGATCAAGAATGAACTTGACAGACTTGACGGGCCAACGACCTTGAGTAGCACCAAATTCCTTGGCTTGAGCAGTACGACCGACACCACCGTTGAATCTACGGAAAGGAATACATTGCTTGTGTTCCTTGACATTGTTGAGGTAAGCATAAGCCTTGCTCAACTTCATGCCTTGGATAGCGACAGCAACTTCGTGGGTGTTCTTGAACTATATAAAGAGCGAGTTGGTAAAACGATTTCACTTGTATTGTTCAAACTTACGTGAACACGGAGATAGGAACCTCTGGACTTGGCGGCTAATTTATCAAAAGTCGTTTTAGTGTCATTGAATACGAAAAAAAAAAAAAACAATTTACCCTTAGCTTGGTTGGCTGGAGTAGCAGCGTATCTGACCATTGTTGTTCAACAGACTGTTTGAGTACAATGTGTGTAAATTGTTGAATAAGACAAGAAATGATTAGTAAAATGTCACATTTCGAAAATAGATTGCACAAGTTCATCAACACAGCTCATTTCTGTATCCACGTTACATATCAACGCTTAATCGTCTTTTGTTTGGATGGATTGATCTTGTAGTGAGCTTTATTCCTTTTGATGTATTCTTATGCAACCTAGTTATATGATACGTACTGGTTGGTTGAAAGGAAGGATTGTCTTTGTGGCAAGCGTCATTTGGTATATTCTTGAGAACCAACAGCTTTCGGTGATTGAAAATTCCGAGCCGGAAATTTTATCTTTATGCAAGAACCCTTTTTTTTGTTTATGATCTGTAACTGTAAATAGTACACTTTAATATGCAAATAGACAGAGTAAAAGAGAGAGAGACCTATCACAATATATACATATATATATATATATATGATTTATACTCATACTTCTTTACTGATACATGATGATCTTGTTCATTAAAACACAGAATATGATCTAATGTAATAATTACCCGCAAAAATGAAAATCCTAATTTGTTTTCTCACGTGTGTACAGCTGTATATTTTTGTGCCTTTTTTTGGCTTATTTCCCCTTTTCTTTCTTCCTTTACCACATGAGTTCTTTTGTATCTTACGTATTAAATAGTGCTGAAAAGATACCTGTTGTTGGAAGTCCAATAGGACAAGCCTCCAACTGGTATTTTAAAAGTAACAATGAAAAAGTTTGTACTCCCGATCAACCTCCACCTTCTTATGAAAAAGCCATCTCCAGCTCTCCATCAACCCTATCACAAATATCAGATTATGTATGGAAAAAAGCTAGCTTCAGTAGTAGCAGTAGCAGCCATCATGAAGTAATAGATACAGTAAAAGAAGATGATGAAAATGAATGTATGCTGGACAAAAGTCAACTAGAAGAAGGCATCTCACTCATCAAAATGGCTACGGAAGTAAATAATCACGACATGAAAAATCAAGAAATTTCAATAAATCTATACATGATGGGACTTGATAAGATACTTGCTTCATTACCAAGTGAGTTATCGTTTACTCTATATCTATTGCATCTCACTAATAATATAAAAAGCGGATTCTGATCCTTTAATTAAAAGTACATTGGAAAGGAAACTAGCAGAGTTCAAGCAAAGAAATCATCTTGTCATACCCGACCTGGAAGAAACGCCCAAGAAAAAGAAACTAACACCTGAGCAAAGAGAAGAAGCATTAGGTGGTCTTTCCGAATTAATTATTCAAGCTGCTGTAAAAAGTGCTATTGCCCTCAAAAAGAGTCCACTTCCAAGTAAGTAGGAAAAGGGCCGTTGTTTTTGGGGATGTAAATATTTATTATTTGTTTACTTAGGTTTAATCTCAAGAGTTGTGCAAGTAGCAAAGATTGGATTATTGAAAGTAGATGAAACTTGTTCTCTTAGAGAAAGAGCTATCAGCATCACTCAAAATGGGATTGCAAAGGCTATTGAGCTAGACGAACACTATGAAGTGCATCAGTTTTTTGCAGAATTGTTTTATACTGGCTGCACTGCCTTATTAAAAGCAAGTACTGCATACAACCAAACAGATACAGATGAGTCACAGGATGCACCCTTGAATGCATGTATACAGTAATAAAAATCATTTTCCTTATTCATTAATGTGTGTGTGATTTTCCCTTTAATATTTCCTTTTTCAAACAGCACCAACAACATCTTCCTCTTCTTTTATCAAATTATTTAAAAAGAGCTCTAGAATCACTATGAGCAACCTTAGATTACGAAATACTTTTGGATATTGCTTTAAATTGTGCTTCCGTTCATAGTTTAAAAAGATCAAGTTTGACAGAAGAATTCATTTGTATAAATAAAAATTTATTCAGTTATTTGAGGACAGTTATGTCTCGTTTTTATCTTGCATAGAGTCAGTCGATTAAGGAGGAGATAACGCGTTTGATGAGATAATCTAACACCGGATCATACATTCTACTTTTCTCTATCGCATCTGATAATACCAACAGTAGTAGCTACTACTATAACAATAATAAATAATCACACTGATAACATTAATGTTCTCTAGAAAACGCACACCCATCTTATTTTAATAATACTCCTTTCTTGTTAATGAAGAACCTAATTCGCATGTCGTCGACTTAGTAGCCTTATTTCAAATATAAGTGAAATATAACACGGGGATCTATACGATCTAGCGTTCAGATAGTACAACGTTGGACATTCCCTAAGTGAGATAACAGAAGAAATAAGCCTATTTTTCAGTATTTGCAGTGTTACAGACTAGAGTTATTGCATCTTCTACAATTGGAAAATACACCAGCAAACCAGCATAAACAGACAGAAGGAAGAGTATCAAAACAGCTTGGATAAAATCAAGACGCTAGATGATGTTTCTGAGGAAATAAAAAGATATGCTGGACATTTATTTAAATAAGGCAAGGAAAGCCAGGTAGCATATCATAAACTGTATTGGCAAAGACTATTTTTTTAGCCTTTGAAAAAGGAGAAAGACAACAAGGGAGACAAACTCTCCAAATGTGGCCAAAAAACAAAGGCCGTAAATAGTCTTATTGATTTACTACATGCTATATATATACAGTTTATCCTTTTAAGACTTATAAATAAATACGTTGTCGTAAAGCTTCTTATACCAACTAACGCTATACAGTCTTTTCATAAAGTAAAATCGCATTTTTGCAGTTTTTACAATACAATTTATATGAAAAAGCGATAAGCCAGCGCAACATCTTTTTCTGCAAAAGGCGTGTATACCACTTGTACTATGTGAAATTTTTGGATCTCATTACAGTCAGTCTTTTCTTATATCATCTCAAAATATGAAATATACCAAAGAAAAACTACTGTTATTTCTCTTATTTTACTCCACTTTAAGCATGAGGCCATTTGTGACACCCCATTTCTCAACATTATTTGTCCATCTCCCTAAGAACACTCCATTTTACACCTCCCACAGCACACAAATACACACAACCAGCAAGCATTGTATCAAAGACAAGTCTTGATATTCCAGATCCCTTCTCTTTAACTGCACATACATTTTAGGTAAATTACAACAAGTGAGGAATGAATGTGAATCGTACACCTTGGATGTCAAAGGATTGCAGTGGATGAATGGATGAATGAGCAGATGGATGGATTAAAAAAAGTATAAGCATGTACCACCACCATTTCGAATGTCAGTCATTCTTACCACATCAAGTCCCTTGATCCAAACAATTCACATTCTTATCCTACAAGCACTTTTACTCTTAAACAACAGTTAAACTAACTTACCTTTTTTTCAACTCATCAGTCATGGGTGCCTACAAGTATCTCGAGGAACTTGCCAGAAAGAAGCAATCCGATGTCTCTCGCTTCTTGCTTCGTGTTAGATGTTGGGAATACAGACAATTGAACGTCATTCACCGTGCTTCTCGTCCCTCCCGCCCCGACAAGGCCCGTCGTTTGGGATACAAGGCCAAGCAAGGTTACGTTATCTACCGTATCCGTGTCCGTCGTGGTGGTCGTAAGAGACCTGTTCCTAAGGGTGCCACTTACGGTAAGCCTGTTAACGAAGGTGTTAACCAATTGAAGTATCAACGTTCTCTCCGTTCCACTGCCGAGGAACGTGTCGGTCGCAAGTGCCGTAACCTTCGTGTGTTGAACTCTTACTGGATCAACCAAGATGCTACCTACAAGTACTACGAAGTTATCCTCGTTGACCCCTCTCACAAGGCTATCCGTAACGATCCTCGTATCAGCTGGATCGTCAACCCCGTTCACAAGCGTCGTGAAGCCCGTGGCCTTACTGCCATCGGTAAGAAGTCTCGTGGTCACCAAAAGGGTCACCGCTTCAACAACACCAAGGGTTCTGGTCGTCGTGCCACCTGGAAGCGTCGCAACACCCTTTCTCTCCGTCGCTACCGCTAAATGCTTTGTTAAGTTTTGGACAATGTCTGTATACTTGTTTAGTTGTACAAAACATTGTTTTTAATTAAAGAAAATATGCAGCATCTTCAAAGAGACAGTATTTATTGTATAGTATTTCCATTTTAAACCATTGTTTTCTGTATCTGGTAATAAGAATCGTAGCCGTGTCTGTCGTTGTGCTGTGGGATCTTGTTTGGTATCATCAATGGGCAATAAGGCATCCGTCAATGAAGTTGGATTGTCGTCTTGATGCCAGTAGCCAATGATCTATCCAGCTCGGGCAAGATCATTCGGTCTTTATAGAAATAGTGAAAGACGACTTGCAAAGTATCGAGTGAAAACAGGTTGGATGGTAGGTGGACAGAGGGGATAGAAGCCTCACGAAACTCTACATGAGCTACTTCCAGATCCTACCTATAATGGCTTCTAACAAACCTTTTGAATGCGTGATGCCACGCTAAATATGAATTTATAAAGCCACCATGGTTTGTTTCTTTTCAAGAAGAAAGAGATAAAAAAGAAGTTTTATGTTGTCAGTTAATCAACAAAGAACCAAGGTCAATCACGTGTAATTACATTATTTAGCCTATTTTATGGTGTATTCGGTGTTGGCCAATTTCTTGAAGCGATTTCTCTTTGACTATTACACTGTTGCCTAAGCCGGCATCTGAATAACTAGTAAAATGCCGTAAGAGACTAAAAGTAGGCAATTCTAAACATTCAACGGCTTCTTGTGGCTTGGAGTTTATGCATCAAGTCTTTTGCTTCTGGGCAGTCGTTCTGGGACGTTTTAGATGTCCTTCCAGTCATGTAGCAAGATGTGAAGCTGAAGAACTCCTTTGTGAAAACTGGCGTCAACTTTAATTGTCATGAGCAGGGCACTACTGTGCATACAGTGGGGCTGTCGTTTGAGTGTACTTTAATTTCGATTTAGCCTGCTGGTTTTGTGCTTCGTGTTTTCGCATAAATTACCTCAACAATGACACTTTTGGCCACTTTAGCAATCTTGGAAGAGGACAATTCATTTGTAAATTTATTTTGTTGCATTATAGTAACTTTATGTGATTATTCTAGGAGTATTTAATACTTTCTTTCTTCTATTTAAAAAAAGTACCAAAGGCTCTCAAGACGAATTTTTGAGTGTAAGGAACTGTAAAATAATAGGCTTTTCCTGATTTGGGCGTATTTGATCTCTGTGTAGCTACAAGCTAACTGGTTAAGAATAACAGTCACGGCAAGGATTTATCAAGGAGAAGCTATTTTTTTTTTTCTCTTTTTTGTTTGACAGAAAAGCCCATTGATGAGCAATTTTTTCAATAGCTTAATATACAACTTCTCAAACATTCTTTCCATTGGCCCTGAGCCACCAAGAGAAGGAGAGGAGCAGTGTGGAACAGGCTGCTGCCAAGAACAACAGAGCAACAACGAAGGCTGTTGCCAAGGTAGTGGCAATAGCGACGGATGCTGTAAAGATAACAATCAAATCTTGGAAATCGAATCAGTCAAGATTCTGTATTCCTCATTGACAGGCACTGCAAAGACGTTTGCTAATGAAGTGGAAGAAAAGCTCAAAAGTACAAAATTTGTCAAGATTCAAAAATTAGAAACCATGGATATTACCGACTACGACAACGATAACTTGCTAAATGAAACTTCAGTTTGTATCTTTATCCTTGCTACTTATAATGTAGAAGGACCTTTGGACTGGTAAAACAAGAAACAATAAAAAGACAAAACTAAACATTAATGCATGATCTGTAGGTTCTCAAACTGGCTTCATGACCTTCGATACGATTTCCGAGTTGACAGAGACGCTCTAAAGAAACTGCGATACGCAGTATGTGGCTTGGGAGATTCTGCATATGGAGACGAATTCAATGTAGCTGCGGCCAATATTGACAAGTGGTTGGGAAGATTAGGCGCAACTCGCATCTATCCCTTGGGAGAGTGTGACAAGAACGCAGATCAAAAGGCACAATTTGACGTTTGGTCTAATGGATTTATTTCAGAACTTCAAGATAAGCATACTTTGGAGTTTGCACCTACCAATATCGCATATCAATCAGATGATGACGATGAAGAGGCTGAAGAAGCAGAAGCCATTGGTTCAGAAGATGAAATGGTCGATTTGGAAGATATGGGTAAAATGGCCACTAAGATTAAGGCAGCAAAGGCAAAACGTGCAGAAGAAGAGGAGGATTTTGAAAATAGTAAAGCAAAAGCAAAGAGAGCGATTGGTGAAGACGCCAAGAAGCAGGACAAACCTCAGGCTCGTGAAATGGTATCACCCATGATTCTCAAGAACTTGACAAAGCAAGGTTATAAAGTGGTTGGATCCCATTCTGGTGTAAAGATCTGTCGTTGGACAAAATCTGCTCTTCGTGGAAGAGGTTTCTGCTACAAGCACGCATTTTACGGTATCCAAAGTCATCTTTGTATGGAAACAACTCCTTCGCTGGCTTGTGCTAACAAATGTGTGTTTTGCTGGAGACATCACACAAACCCTGTGGGAACGACTTGGAGATGGAAAGTGGACGATCCTAAATTCATCTTGGACGGTGCCATGGAAAACCATTATAAGATGATCAAGCAACTTAAAGGTGTGCCTGGTGTCAAGGCGGAACGTTTCCAAGAAGCTTTCACAATCCGTCACTGCGCCCTTTCACTTGTAGGCGAACCCATCTTTTACCCTCATATCAACGATTTTGTAAACATGTTACACGAACGCAACATCTCCTCCTTCTTGGTCACCAACGCTCAATTCCCTGACAAAATTGCTGAAATGGTGCCTGTCACACAGCTTTATGTAAGCGTAGACGCTGCTACCAAGGAGTCATTAAAGAAGATCGATCGTCCCTTATTCAGAGACTTTTGGGAAAGATTTTTAAACTGTTTGGAACAACTGTCACTGAAAGGTCAGCGTACGGTTTACCGTATGACTTTAGTCAAGGGCCACAACACAGAAGAGATTGATGGATATGTTGAGCTAATCCGCCGTGGAAAGCCCTCATTTATTGAAGTCAAGGGAGTCACGTACTGTGGATATAGTGGTGCAAGTGACTTGACGATGGCCAACGTACCCTTCCATGTGGAAGTGATTGATTTCTGTCGCAAGTTGGTTTCCAAACTGGATGGCGAATACGAAATTTCTGCTGAGCATGCGCACTCTTGCTCACTCTTGATTGCCCACAAGAGTTTCAAGGTCAACGGTGAATGGTACACTCATATTGATTATCCCAAGTTCTTTAAGCTTGTCAAGAGCGGCAAACCATTCACTAGCTTGGATTATATGGCTAAGACACCTGAATGGGCTGTGTTTGGTCATGAAGCAGCAGGCTTTGACCCTGATGAAACCCGATTTTACAGAAAGAACAGAAAGAACGTGGAGCCACCAGTGATTAAGACTGAAGCATAATTCTTTAATTTTGATTTCGTACATGTACATATTTATTTATTAAAAAAGTAAATAAAAAAGTCTATAATGTGAGTACTTTACGAGGTACAATAGATAAGATGCTTTCTACTAGAGCATAGCGAGTGACAAATATGGCAGTAAATGCAGTACAGTATAGGGCAATCCTGTAGCCCTGACCAAAACGGAATAAAAGTTTGACTAATTCTTATGAGTATATATCTTCAACTAAAATATGCATCACTTACTTGGAGGAGGAGAAAACATGTAATTGAGATTTTGCCCTGATTTCAAGGCACAGAGCTGCAAGATGGGAGAATGAAAGAAACTAAAGACAGAAAAGGACAACAGTGCCATGTCTTTGGATGTGGGTATCACTAAATATCTTCCGCTATATATCATGTACACAGGCACAACCAGGATCAAGATATGCTCTACACACAATAGCCCTCCATGAATGATCTCATAATTATAATTATATATAACCTACCAGCAAAAAAGTTGAATGTCTCACCCAAGAGATAATGATCTCGCAAGTCTGGAAATATCAAGGCGGCAATACCACCCCATTGTGTATGCAGGTAGATGTTGAATAGTAAGTTGGTGATGATGGAAGACTTGTTTGAGTTGCACAAGGTGAGGAGCAACAGTCCTGCACCCATATGGCATGGCTGGAGCATGAACATCTTATTTTTTCTAATAGTCTTGTGGATAAATGTCAGAGAGAGTGAACCGAATAAAGCAAGAGTCAAAAGTCGCTCTGTTTGTGTGGCAGGGCCGATAGGTTTGAATGTGCTTAATATACGCCAGGTCATGCTAGATGGATCAAGTATCTTGGAAAGATAATAGCCTGTGGCGGATGCAAATCCAATAGATAGAAATAGAAATTCAATTGCATGTTGCCGAGGATGAAGATACCTTTATAAAAAAGAAAGGGGTCATCCAGTCACCCGAGAAAAAAAATTTTTTAAAGGTAGCTTACCAAGATCCTTTGGTAGAGTTTGTCCAGTCAGTTTCAATTGGCAAATCCTTTCCCTGTCGTTTAACCCAATTCTCAAGTCGATTGAATAATGATATACATGGTTTGTACATCACGCTTAGTACAGCCATAATCGGAGGGAAAAAGAAGGAGAGAGGCAAAAAAAAAAAAAAAAAAAAAAAAAACACAGGGCTCAAGTGGGTCTATTGTTAGCTGAGTTTTTTTGGGGGATGTGTAATCAACATGACAACCTTTACTAATTTTTATTTGAAGAAAAAAGTTTTAGGCGTTGAGTATATGAAATATTATTCATGTCCTTTATCGAAATGTCTAATAGTTACCCCCTCTCTCTTTCCTTCTTATTGCGTCAGGTGAAAACTATATATCCCTTATACAGCAGCATTTTTGATCATAGAAAACACTCACACATACAGAGAAAGGAAAGAGGAGATAAAAAGTCATGGATAGCCCCAACACGACCGGAAAAGCCGAATAAATTTAAAGAGAGACTGTACTGCATCATGTTTTTTAAAGTGAGCAATATTTTACGGCTTTCAGGGTCCTCTTGCTCAATGTTTACATTATGCAAGTTGTGCATAAACCATCGTGAACCCAAAAGGGGGATATCATGTCTCTTTTTAGTAATTTTAAACAAAGAAATATCATACGCTTAAAAAAGGGGGAGATGAAAAAAAAAAGCATATAGTGTTTACGGTCTCACAACTGCCCAGAACTGCTCGATTGGAATTAGTTCAGATGAGTAGGGAGGGAGATAATGAGCCTTATCTAAAAGTTGACTATATACCTTACCTTCATTATCTTCCAATTGTATTATTGCAGAACGAAAGCAACATGCTTTATACAAAAGCCGTCATATAAAATACTATTAAAGTGAGGTGATACTTTTCATGAAATCACTCTAGGAAGATCGTTGCAAGCCTCCGTTTAATATACTCTAACAAGAATATATCGCAGGTTGCCATGTTTGGGGCGGCCGGTTGTTCTCTCATTTAAACAAAAATGAATTTGAAAGATACACATTTTTTGTGAACACTACGCGCACGAGGAAATCCAGGGGAAGGCTAATGCTACGGGCGCTTTCTTGGGGTATTACATGTGGCGTCACTATACAACTTCACACTACCAAGCCCTTTGTCTAACCTAAAGCTGCTCATTGGGATATTCTTTGATAATAAAATTACTCTTGATTGATCTTGGTTCTTTGTTGATAGAGCTGACAACATAAATAAAATTAAAATACAGGAAGCTACAAGTTACCGATTTGTACAGAGCGCCCTCAATATCATCTAACAACATGGTTTCTCAAACGTATGGGCAATAGAAAGATGAAAACTATTGATATAGCCGAAATGACTCAGGCGATCCTGCTGCACTTGGTTACAGCTGTTCAACTGCACAATCCGATGAAATACAAGACATATGCTGATACAGACGAGGGTAATAATAATATATAACCTTATTGGAAGTTAAATGGATAGCAAGTGTGTTTTTCTATTTCCTTGTTAGTCTGAACGACAATAATAGAACATGATAAAGCTGAATACAACAGATAATATGCAACCTGTATCATATTGCGAATTTACTCTTACTGTATTTGTGACAAAAAGCCTCGGTAATCATGTCTATTGAAGAACCATCCAACAAACGACTTCACATCCGTAGCTTTGTGACATCGGATGGATATTGAGGTGATAAAACAACTTGTAGGTTGAACTATATTCCGCGTGAAGGGGGACAACAAATGATGATTATATTGGTATAAAAAAATAAATGAAACAGGAATGATAGGGGAATCTTGTCGTTTATCTTTATTTTGAAGCAACACTCAGCGTAGATATACCCAAGCAATATAAACTGTACCTGAAAAATAATGTTATGACAACAATCGGCTACATCAGAAAGTCAGATACTAAAGAATCTAATACATCACGGTGCCTATTAATAAATACAATGATAGAAATATTGATGAATCGTTTTCCGTGTCAATTGACAACTGTAGCAAAAGTAACAATCAGGTGTCCTTGATCTGTACTGATGATGGTACAAGTATTCAAAAGCACAAACAAACCACTCCGTTTGTAACAATAAACGACATGCAATCTTCTTTCCTTAAAGTCCTTTTTTTACTTTAATACTCTTTTTACGCTCTTAAAGACAAACTATTGCAAGAACTCTGTAAACTCTTTACTGATTTAACGGTAAGCATATATCAGTATATAGCTTGCAAATATATCAAATTCATTAGATTGAAAGGAGAAAAAAAAAGAGGAGTGAAGGGGACTGTCAATAATGTAATAGCCATCGTACAGATAGTGTCTAATTATTCAAGTGCGCTATTCAACTTGAAACTGCTAAAGAGAAAAAGAAAGAGGGAGGGAAAGAATTAATGCAAGAGAAGGTAAAAAATTGAATTTGACATGTGTAAGGGCTTACCATTTTCATCACTTGCATAATCCCCCTTTTTTTCTTTCTTTATTTTTATACGGTATATCCGTAAGCTCCCTTTAATCTCAGGGGGGATATGTAATGAATCAAATTATATGCAGATCAAACCAAGAGACCCTTTTATATATTAAATAGGCAAGCTTTTTTCTTTTCTTTTTTCTTTTTCTTTTTCTATACGCGCTTTTTTCTCTTTTATATTTTGTGTCATGTATTCTTCCAAGGAAGAGCAAATAAGAATTACGATCTATGAGACAATCTTGACTGTCCAACAAAATACATTATCCGTAAGGACTGCCGTAATCATGCAAAACTTTCCATTAAATTCTTTTAAAAAGGTTTTCCATGTTATCATACAAACGCCCGAGCAAAAGGTGTCACTTGTTCGATACCCCTTTGATTTTGTCGAATTTCATCAAAAAGTACATGTCTAAACAACTAAAATCAAACACACTTTTAACATTATTATGCATAGATTAGATTTCATTACCCAAAGGTCAAGATGTCCTTTCCGACGCTCCATAATCCCTCTCAGCAGCATGTCAATAAACGACGTTCAATTCAGCATCTTTTATTTCCTTTTTCTCGGAAATCCAACGCGGAAAAGCTTCAAAAGTATCTCGGACGCTGTTTCCGACACCCTATTGTCTCCGTTTCATCTATTCTTCGAGACTTTACTCGAGTTCAACGAGACGAGGATATTGTCTTGATGACTCAGCTGACAGACACAACACTCACCCTAACCACCAATCAATCCACTGATAAATTGGTTATTCCTCCTAAACTAAACAAGCAGATGCCACCTCTTCCAGCTACTATAGATGATTTTAACCTTATTAAAGTGCTCGGAAAAGGATGTATGGGCAAAGTAAGTAAGCAGAAGCATTATATATATATATATATATATATATATAGTTTATCTCATATACCCCTCAAAAAAAGGTCCTACTTGTTCGATCCAAAAGAGATGATACGTTGTATGCCCTAAAGGCCATCCAGAAAAAATGGGTTCTAAAACAAAAAGAGTTTGCTCATACTCGCGCTGAACGAGATATTCTGGTTGGATTACGAAACCAGTCGTTTGTTGTGCATCTGCACCATGTCTTTCAGACCCCATCTACTCTCTTTCTCTTATTGGATTATCATCCAGGGGGAGATATTGCTACTCAGCTGTCGCTCATGTCTAAATTTACACCTGAACGAACAAGGTTTTATGCTGCAGAGATCGTCCAGGGTTTAAATGTGCTCCACAGCCATGGAATTATTTACCGGTGAGTTTATCCGCGCATGGTACTACATGAAGAGAGGGGGGTATTAATATTTTTTTTTAAAAAAATAGAGATCTAAAACCAGAGAATGTGCTCATTCAAAGAGATGGACACATCATTTTGACAGACTTTGGATTGTCAAAAATATTTACTGCAGCTGATGTGGATCAAGAGGAAGGCATGCCTTATACACAAACATTTTGTGGAACAGCTGAGTATCTAGCACCCGAGGTACTCCTGGGAGAACCCTATACCTTTGCTGTTGATTTTTGGAGCCTTGGTACTTTGTTATTTGAGATGTTAGCAGGCATAGTATGTATTTTTATTTAAGCTCTACACACGTGGCTCTAATCCCTTAATGATAGACACCATTTTGGGCTGAAACACATATGGACATGTATCGACGTGTTATTGAAGATCCACTGGAGTTTCCTCCTTCTTTTGACCAAGACACATGTAGTCTCTTGAGCGGCGTAAGGTTAATTTTTATATATAAAAAAAAGGAGGAGGGAAAAAGAAACTAAATAGATGAAAATAGCTTTTAAAAAAGGAAGCGTGTATGAGATTAGGATGGGGACACGATGGGATTGAATACATCAAGGCGCATCCATACTTTGAGAGGATAGATTGGGATCTTGTTGCTAAACGCCAGCTGGAGCCGCCTTCTGTTCCAGTGATAAAAGATGAACAAGACTGCAGTCATTTTGATGATGTGTTTACAAGTATGCCAGTACGTATTAGTCAAGATAGTAGAGAACAAGATGGAGTACAACCGATATTAGATCCATTTGTGTCATTTGACTATGATTCATTATTGATTGAGTTTCAGCAAAACAATAAACCCAGGTTGCGTAAACGGCATAGTGCATCAATGACGGCAGAACATATTGACGATGATCGAGTAAATAAGAAAAGACAGCTAAGAAGAAGAAATGGAAAGTTGAATCCATCCGTGGCTTCTACCTTGAATAACTCGGTTTATTCAGCATTAACAGTGGAGAACCATCAACAGGTGTTATTAATTCAACCCACCTTGTAAAAGAAGAAGTATACAACCTATTATTTTAGTACCCCGACACAATTAAAATTTATTAAATGTAGTGTCACCATTTCACCATTTTGCTACCATTTCCTCCTTTCCACCTTCTTCCCCTTCTTCTTTTCTTTTCCTCTATTATTTCTCCTTTGAGGCCTTTATATAATATTAATACTATTTTTATAATTTTTGTTCCCCCCTTTTAATAAACATTCCTTTGACACTTTCCCCCTTTCTTTTCTTGACTCCTTTTTTTCTCTCTTTTTTTTTTCTTTGTCTGTTTTCAAAAACTCTATTAGTCTTTTTGTTTTTCTTTTATTTTCTACTTGTTTGAAGGGAGAATAAAAAAGCATGTCATTCAGGGTAGAAATAATATCAAATCAACAAAAAAAAACATACTAATAGCTATTTAAACAGTTTGAAACTGAACAATGGCAGTCAGCATGTATTGCCTTTGACAATGGAGAATATGAAACATCCATCAAAATGTTTATTGTAAGCAACAGTTTGATATAAATACATCTTATTTATACATCATTTAGAATATAGCAGATAATTCTAAAATACACTTCAATATTGGACTTATATTCGCTATAGCAGATGAACATGATCGAGCAGTAAGAGATTAAATCCAATGTTGCATATTGATTTATTCAAAAGAAATAGATAGCATCCTTTACAAAAGCAATTGAACTTGATCCATATTTAGCAGTCGCTTATTTTCAAAGAGGAGTCTCGTATTTTATTCAAAACAAGATGGAAGCAGCTGAAGCAAGCTTCGATCAGACCTACGAGGTAGGAAGGATTCATGTATATATATATATATATGTGTTGTCTGACACTATCCCCTATAGCGTTTAAGAGGAAACAGTATCATCAATTATCACCAACTCGGCCTGTCATTTAAATTATATGCATGTGAGGCACTTTTCAACCGAGGCATATGCAAACTGTATTTAGGAAAAATTGATGCTGGATTAACTGATCTGTATTACGCTCAAAAGGGAATTCAGATACCAGAACATAATGTCATTAAACAGGCAGTACGAGAAAGAGGCAAGGGTTACTCTGTCTTTTCTCTTCCACCATCTGTTCTGTTCAGACCAACAGAAAGTCGATTACGACAATTAAATGGAGGCATGTTTGCAGCTGTTGATCAGCTCGGCCTAAAGAAGCCTATCCCCAGAAACCATTCGATCCTCCTCGATCAAAGACCATCTTACAAATACTCATTTTCAAAGCCACTCTCATCATCATCATATGCATCCCCAACTTCTTCTTTCAACCGTTTCTTTCCACGAAAGAATGACTCAGGCATCTATCAATCAGACGATTCGACCGCATCTTCAACAAGCAGTAGGTATACCCGTGGCGCAGACAGTGGCTTTGAATCTTCGACTGAGGACAGGTATTCTTCCTCGCCCAAGACTTCATCTAAATTAGCCTTTGAGTGTCCATCCAAAGAAGAAGACGAAGGCTATGGTGATTTTGATAAGGAGCTCGAAGAAGTCTATGGCTCAATCAATACCATGTCGTTGGAACAGGAGACAGAATGGAACAAACAACAAAGATGGTCTCCACAAGAGAACCTGTTGCATCAGCCCTCAGCTTCAACTTCCTCAAACAGTACGGCCGGAAAATTAAAGATCAAAGTTCACTACAAGGATACACGAATCCTATTGGTCTCTAATACCATCAGTTTTGAGGAACTCAAGCTGAGAGTTCAAGAAAAATTTAATGCACCTAGTTCGATTCTGTTGAAATACAAAGATGAAGAAGATGAACTGGTGTTGCTGATAGATGATGATGATTTACAGATTGCAAGACAAGTCTGCAGACATTCGAATACAAAAGGCTATGACCTTGAGAAACTAGAACTTTGGTGTGTTGACATTTAAAATATTGTTATTTTTTTAGTCTTTTTTACTTTTTTTGTAAAATATTTTTTTATTTTAAACTTTTTTGTATATTTTACTATAAACAGAGCCACAATAAAAATACACCTTTGTTTCAGTGTTCAACAAAATAGGGCTTAGGGTCATTCTTTTGCCATCAATCAACCCCAAAAAAGTAAAAAAAAGACAGGGCTTCTTTGTTATTGTTTACATTTCAGTAAAGGGCTGAAAGCATTTACTTTGTTCTATTATTAAACATGTACTTGACGTAAAAGGGATTGTCTCAAATAATGAAAGCAGATATAAAAGAACTCATTCTTTCTGTCTCTCTCTTTTTTTTCATCATTCAAACAATCAAAAAATGCAATCCTCTTTCATGTACATCCTCTTTACTCTCTTGGCTCTTGCCGTGGTCTCTCTCCAAGCTTTGCCTCTCAACAAACGCGGTTATTCCATTCAACTTCGCTCTGGTACTGAATTCTGTTCCTTTGTTCCTCCTCACGCAGGAGATGATGTCGGAGGCACCGAAAACGACGGTATTCCCATGTGTACTTCATCTAACCTTGGTGGCCAACAATTCCCTGCTGGCTTCATTCAATCCGCTCATTACCTTAGTACCTCCAACTATGTTCAAGTCACTGGTCGCATTGATCGTACCAAATACAGCTTGAAGAGCTCTGATGGTGGAGGACAATACGATAACAAGGATATCAGTGGCGTCACTTGTAATGGCTACAAGTACTTTGTCAACTTGATTGAACCTGATGCTAACCAGTTCTGTATCCGTTGTTGCAAGAGTCAATCTGACTGTCGCTTGAGTATCTCAACTGCTGGTTGTGAAACTATTGTTCCAGGCAACTACAGTTAAATGCTTGTTTCTAGTTCTATTTCTTCATGTGTATTATTAGCATTCATTCAATAAATATGTTGTATATTTTTGTCTAAAAATAACTCGGTGCATTGACCAACTCTTTGTGTTTCTCTCCAAAAAGGGAAGATCGCATATCACTGCTTAAAAAAGAAAATAAAAAAACTTTATTCGTCATTTTGTCCCAATAAAAAAAAATGACTGACTGATGACTTCATTTTAGGTATTCATAAGTTCCTATTTTGCTGATGATTTACAAAAGAGTCATAGTTATTCACTAAGAGTCGACTGTTTTTTTTTTTTGTGACATTCAGCCCAATTCGGTAAAAGAAACATACATGCCAAGCATTCCTTTTCTTTAGGAGCATATATAAAAACGATACCAGATATTTTTAAAAAAAATACCATGGGCTTAGCCTAATGATACTTATAGGCGTTCAATATACGTTTAAAGGCAAGAAGTACATGAAATCTTGTGGCCATTGTCTATAATTAGTTCCTTCGGCTGTTTATACCTATGCTATGCCCATGATTATTAATTAAAGTCTATGATATCATGTAACTTTTGATACTTACCTGAAGCAATCTTGTTTTTCGTCTGGACTTGTGCGAAGGTCAGCGTAATCAGTGATTACCATACGAATGCCGCTTACCGACATAATTATATATTCTATCGTGTCTTTTTTTTTTTTTTGTTAAAAAAAAGAAATCGAACTGCATATTGCATCGTTTTACCTGCCTTGGCAATTCCCTCGTATGTTGTTGATCTGATAGGCATCTTTCTTGCCACAGTCACGGCCATCTATAGGATCATCTGCATTTGTACCTGAAACTTACAGATACATGCTCACAAACACACTTGGCCTTTTTAGCTTTTGTATTTGCAAGTTGAGTGACTTCTCCGCAGCAGATCTTTGTTAACTTTCTTGCTGTCGCCAGTTGCTGTGACCCTTTTGAACTGTCACTCGCACTTATTTCCGGAGCCCTTTGATATTTGAAATGTCGTTCCAAGTAAAATCTAAACTATTATAATTAAACAGAATCCCCCGTTAATATTTTTCTTGCCTATTGATCCCTCTTTGATGATATTGAATGTTCTTCCTCTTATTCTTTTTCTTTGTCAATCACCCCAAGAACCGTCTTTACATATCCAATCGTTTAATTGGCTGCAACTAAATAATACGTTACCTAGGAGTAAGCTCAAAAATGCCTTGCCTCTGTTGTAAATTTTTGGTTAGTGATCACAGAACACAGACTCAGGAAGACATGACAAGTTTTGTCAGGTCTATCACTTGCTCTTCTTGATTAAAGTACTAAGGTTAATGTGAACTACTGTTTGGTAGTATATTTAAAATAAAGAGCGCCTGATATTGTTGTATTCAATGTTACAGTTGTTATTAAAGACGCGTAATTGTTTATAGGAGGGAATTTTTAGGTTGTCATGTGAATGTTGTTCTCATCTACAAGATTTTATAAAGTATTATAACAGCTTATCAAAACGCGTTGGATACTTTAAAAGAATCGTTAATACACACAAACTCTTGTTTCAAAGGTAAAGTTTAGCTTTTTGAAGTTATATTAAGGACACGCATAATTCTTTTTGGTGAAACGTAGAGCTAAGAAATAGGATAAAAGATATTGTTATTTAAAAGCCACTGTCAGCCGTATCTATGACAGCCAGAGTGTTCGGAGTCGATTTGACTAATTGAATTCGTTAAATACTAAAACAGAACAATGTCAATGTTTATGTTTAAAAATAAAGCTTGTGTTCAAAGGGAGCATAAAAAAGGGGAGACACCAGTCACTTACAAGACCTTTTTTTTTCTTTATTTCATAATGAGCAATGAACAGCAACAGCATCACCACCATAGTCGACTCTTTTATTTCCTAACTGATCCTTCTAAATTATCTTCACTTATTAATCCAAGTCAATCTGGCAATGTTCACCAACATCCTCTTCCATTACCATCACTTCCTACAACTACTACACCCATAGCTGTAGCAGCTGTACAAGACTGCTGTAACCAATGTTGCAGGACAATACCAATAGAACAACAACAACAACAATCTATACCAACAGAACCAATACAATGCAAATGGTCTAGTTGCTTACAAAGCTTCACTCAACCTGAAGACTTGGCTCCTCATTTATTTAAAGATCATGTCAATAAGAATCGTAAAAAACAATTGAAATGCTACTGGGAATCTTGCTCAGAGACAGTAGAAGACCTACTAAAACATCTCACCAGTCAACATCTAATGGGTCTATGGCTTGCTTGTCGATGGATTAACTGCAACAGACGATTCGAGGGCTTCAACACACTGACGAACCATGTCTCTGAGGATCATGTGGGCTCAGGCAAAAGTGAGTACCAGTGTTATTGGATGTCATGTGACAGACAAGGCAAGGTCTTCACGCAACGCCAAAAGATCATGCGGCACATCCAGACACACACGGGAGCCAAACCCTATCAGTGCCAAGTCTGCCAGAAACGATTTTCAGAGTCAAACGTGATGATGCAGCATATGCGCACTCATACAGGCGAAAAGCCATATCGATGTCAAGATTGCAATAAGCAGTTTACCGTATCTGCTTCATTAACCATTCATAAAAGAGTTCATACAGGAGAGAAGCCGTTTGCTTGTAAATATCAGAATTGTAATAGACGGTTTATTGAAAGCAGTAATTTAACCAAACATGTAAGGAAAAGAAAAAAAAAAGATTGCATTAACTCCTTTATTGATATATATTGTAAATATATATTTGATAGATGAGAGTTCATACAGGAGAAAGACCTTTTAAATGTACTGTAAAATTATGTGAAAAGGCATTTTCAAGGTCTGACCAAGTAACTCGACATTTAAAGACACACAAGAGTTGATTAAGCACTGGTTGACCTTGCAATGATTTTTGAAAGAATTAAATAAAGGAATACCACTAGTACAAATATCCAGCGTTTTCCCTGACTCACAGCTGTGTGAGTTAGATTATGTTGTTGTTGTTGCTGTTGTTCGATATTATTTGTTTGTATTGAGGTGGGTTCTTTTATACGTTTAATTAAGGTATTATCTGTCGTTGATGAATTATTTAAATCTACTGTACATAGTTCTGGAAATACTTCTGCAAATATAGAATGAGCTCATATGCTCTCTCTTCTCCTTTTCAATCATGTTAATTTACCTCTAAACTTGTAATGGTTCAGGTTCCATAAATGGGATCTAGCAGCATATATTCTCTTTTCTGCTGTACTTGTCTTTATGCTACCCGTCGTTGCTTCATCGCCAACCATAAAACTTAGTAATCCATTTAATATGGTAGCTACAGACCAACTAGGATTCCATAAGCTAGGATGAAAATCACTCATCGTTAGACAGAGTCTTGTGTCAGGTTGGAAACGTCCAGAAGGTGTAGTCATACGAATAGAAGGCGGTTTGAATGGGTATTCAGCAGGAAAGTTTAATCTACCATAATATTCTCCTCCTGCGTAGGGTGAATCAGGTGGGCCTCGGATAACATAATGCCTTTGAATCATACTATTAGATTTTTTTCTCTTTCATCCATACTGTTTTCTATCTTACCATTCCAGGATGTTATTCTCTAATGGCTTTGCTGTGATAAATGGTGGGGGACTAAAGGTAGCTTAGTAAAAGGTAATAAAAGCTATATTTTTCATACTTTTTCTGAATTGCCATGTATTCTTTTGTTAAGCGTTTGTATGCACTTTTTGTTGCCATTTTATGTAAAGGGAAAAGAAAGAGGAAAAAAAAAAAGGAAAAATCACTAATAAAAATGAGGAGATGATGAAGTAAGAAGTCACGTGCTTCTGGATATTGAGTGATAAATGATTGGGTAACCTTCTTTCTATTAAACACAAAAGCAATGGCATTGTCGCTCTCTTTTTTCTTTCTTTCTTTATTTAAATTAATTGCATCTATTTGTAATCCATTCAATGTAGTACTTGATCACTTGGTCTCTATGAGGCAAAGATTCATTATGCACTATGATCATTTTTATCAGTACAAGTCACAATAACCGAATTTAAACTTACATTCATGATAAAGAGACTTCCAAGACTTCATTTCTTTATCCTTGCTGGCGGTTAATTCATAAGCCTTGACACATGCTATATGTGAGTTGATGTTATCTTCGTCACCATGGGAATATAAAATAGGACAATTGATTAATTTTGCTCTTGTCTTTAAAATATCTGATCCTGCATCAATCATGCTCTTCACTATATAAATTCACTATTAGATTGATAACCAATCTACAACATCATCTTACAAGTAGCCAAGGTAGCATAATCATGCACTAAAGGATCTTCTTTAAATCTTTTTACTTCATCTTGATCATGAGACATGCCACTGGCGTCAAGGTCGGCTCTGATCACAAAGTGAGGAAGCAGATTAGAAATCATACGGAGACCATAGTACTTGAGAGCAGGTATAGGCATAGATAATTCGATAAGAGGAGATGCTGCAATGGCACCTGTCACTAGTTTAACTCCTTGGTATTTATCACCTCTTGAAAGGTAATTAAGGATGAGGCCACCGCCCTTTTTTTGGTGGGTGAGTAAATGAAAATGATCACACGGAGAAAGAGCTTACCATACTGTGTCCCATTAAAAAGAGAGGAAGATTATCACGTTTCGTCTTCAAGACAGCATCATCTATGTCTTGCAATAGTGTATCATAGCTACGGGACAATGCTGAGTATATTCTCTTTCCATAGCAATTACTCTATTTAATTTACCCCTGGTTGTTACCAAACTGTCCGGATTTCTTGCCGGTCTCTCCCCATCCTCGTTGATCATAACCATAACATTCAATACCGCTACTAGCAAAAGAAGCAAGTACTCTGTCATGTCTACCAACGTGTTCACCAAATCCATGAACCATCCTGAGTGTTATCACGATTAAATTTCACGTAATCAGAAACAAATATTTATTTACACCAAGGTAGCAATAGGATTAGGCGTAGTAGCCTTCCATATCTTTGTATAAATCTCGTTTCCATCCTTATGACGGATCCACTCTTCAATGACAGTGACTTGGCTCATGTTTTGAAAATAAAGTTGTGTGAAAAAAAGAAAAAAAAAAGTAAAAGCCAAAAAAAAAAGTGTATTTATATTTACTATCGTGAGTTTAGAATTTAGTGTCGCTTTTCCAAATCGAGTGGTAGCCGAAGTGAGAAACGAAGATGTTGCCTTGCCTGCAAAAAGTAAGAGCATGCAATTCAGTAGTTTTACCTTCAAGACGAGCACTAACTATCTCTAAAGGCGTTACATAAAAAAGAAGCGTATTTTTTTTTATTGATTGATATCAAAAGCAGGGCACTCTCGGTAAATTCATTAATCAACTTCGGCAAGTGTGTGTGAATTCATTTTCATTAAAGATTCTACAATGCATAATTATTCCGTTTTAGACATGTCGCTCAACTCTAAATAACTCTACTATTCTGCTTAATGTCCTATAGTTAATATTAAAAGATAACAGCTACAAGATGACTGATAAAGAAAAGTTTATCTTAAGGATAACACGCTAATTTAGCATTCTTTATAAAATTTACCATTTTTTATGTTGCATTTTCTTTTATTTTTGTGTAATGAGAATAGGTAAGCTATTTTATACCAACTTGGATTGATTAAACTTAAAGCAGGCTTTAATCGATTAATCAAAAAAGATGCATAGTTGACTTAATAGATCTGCTATATCATCGTTATATAAATAAAGAATGAATTAGATCGAAGCGATCATTTTATGAATAAAAATATTAAGATTTAACAGCATATAATACATGAGGATAGAGTTGCTAAGCATTGAGTGCTTCAATACGTCCTGTGCCAAGATGCGACTTTAAGTAGTATTAACCTTTAAATATACCATACTAGTAACTAGATGAATGCCAATTTTCTCATTGTTTAAGTACTATATGTGATAGTCTTTAAAGTGCCCAAATACACAGATTTTTTTATCACATGTCTAAAACTTTGTATCACTGAACATTGTGGAGACGCTGTGTGTAACTCATCAAGATGCTATTTGTACAATCTCATTAGTAAGCTTAACTATGCGATATAAACAACTATTATTATTATTTAACGATCATTTGATAAACTGTTCTTCTGTTGGGCTTGTGCATCTTTTTGTTTATTGTTGTACAGCAGCGGTTTCAATCTACAGGCCTCCTATTATCCACAGTACAAGGATGCGTTTCATAACTAATCTCTTGTTCATAATGGTTTTTGTACAACTGATTCTAATGCTCTTTTGTGTTGACAGTCATTGTTCTCGTACTCTTCTTTAGTTACCCCATCTCTATATAAACTTGATCTTTTTGAGCATAATTTAGTGCCTTGAAGCAAACTGAAATCCATGCTCTTTTCATTTGGAAACATATCCTTTATTATATATCCCTACCGCTGCCATTCATAATTAGCATTGGTAACATGCTGTAAAAAGTCATCTATGCATGTTTGTGAAACAATAACTAAAACCTCTGTCTACGGCTAAATAATTTAACCCAGCTAAAAGTCTATCAAGATTTTACTTCAACTTGGATGACATACAGTGAAAATGATTTAGATATTATAAGAATGTCGATCTTGACACTTTGTGAATTCAACTATGAGACACCAACAGTCAAGCGGATGTCTGCTCTTTCTCTCTCTCTCTTTTCCAAATCTATGCGTATACATTCTCTTTCTCTCTTAATAAATCTACCTCGATTAACAAGATACAAAAGAGCAAAAAGAAAGACATGTAGATTTGCAGTGATAGTGGCCGAGAGTCAACTTTAGGCTTAACTTATTCTAGTCCGTCTCTCATTGCATTTTAAGTACAGCACTATGTGCGGGGGGCAATCATCTAATTTGGTCAGATAAAAAAAAGTCCATGATATCATGATTAGGCCTCTTTTTTCTTTTTCTTTTTTCTTACTTTACATATACACGCATATATATATATTATAGATGGCTCGAAAGCGAGAATTTATAGGCGCCGTAGATCAAGGAACGACCTCATCTAGATTTTTGATATTCGATAACGATGGAAAACTGATTACGTTTCATCAACTCGAACTACCTCAAACACAACCACAGCCAGGATGGATCGAGCATGACCCACTAGACATATTGGATACCGTAGTGAAATGCATAGACCAGACGATTCATCGCTTTGAGCTTATGGGGTACGACGTGAAGGACATCAAAGGTAAGCTCCTCATATTATATATACTCATACTGATATTGGACAAACAAGGCATTGGCGTCACCAACCAGAGAGAAACTGCAGTAGCATGGAATAAAAAGACAGGCGAACCGATTAGAAACACGATTGTTTGGTCTGATGTGAGAACGGACGATATAGTACATGCGCTCAAGGAGCGACCGGATTCAAAGATAGTCAAGGAACTCTCGGGTCTCGACATCACTTCATACTTCACCGCTGTTAAATACAAGTGGATGCTGGAAAATGACGAAGAGGTGAAAAAAGCGGTAAAAGAGGGCGTGGCTTGTTTCGGCACAGTCGACAGCTGGCTTATCTTTAAACTGACAGGTGGTACGGCTCATGTGACAGATGTCACGAACGCCAGTCGTACACTGCTCATGAATCTCAAGACGCTTTCTTGGGATCCACTGTTGCTCGAGTTCTTTGATGTTCCTGAAGGTCTGCTGCCCAAACTGTGTTCATCATCAGAAATATATGGAGAAATGAAAGAAGGTCCGCTCAAGGGTATACCTATCGCCGGTTGCCTAGGTGATCAACAAGCAGCCCTTTTGGGACAAAAGTGCTTTGATCGTGGAGAGGCAAAATGTACATTTGGTACTGGTGCCTTCATGTTGTTCAACACAGGAAAGGAGCCTGTTGTCTCTACACACGGCCTTATCACCACAGTCGCATTCCAACTAGGCAAAGACGCGTATTATGCCCTAGAGGGTTCCATGGCCGTCGCCGGTTCTTCGCTTCGATGGTTGCGTGATAATTTAAGATTGATCAACTCCATGGAGGAGGTGAGTGAACTGGCCGAGCATGTGCCAGATACAGGAGGAGTCTATTTTGTAACTGCATTCTCTGGTCTGTTTGCTCCCTATTGGCGAGACGATGCACGAGGAACCATGATCGGTTTGACTACATACACTACCAAATACCACTTGGCGCGTGCAACACTTGAAAGCATGTCATTCCAGTCGAGAGCCATTCTGGAGAGTATGAACCAAGATGCTGGAGTTCCACTCAAGGTGCTTAAAGTGGATGGTGGTGTTTCCAACTCGAACGTGGCGATGCAGATTCAGGCGGATCTCTTGGGTATTCAAGTAGAGCGACCGGCCATGCGAGAAACGACGGCACTTGGTGCGGCTATTGCAGCAGGTCTCGCTGTAGGTGTCTGGAAATCAGTGCATGACCTCGATAATGTAAATGTAGACAATGTCAGTCGGTTTGAACCTCATTTAGCACAAGATCAACGAGAAGAGAGATATGAAGTTTGGAAGAAGGCAGTAGAGACCTCTCTCCACTGGAAGGACGATGTAGAAGAACTATAAAAATAAACTTTCTTTTATTACTCTTGTCTTTTCTATCACACATTTTCCTAATTTGTATCTTTCAGACTCCTTTGGAGTCTTAATGTACTTCCATCCAATCTTTGTTTGGCATATTCGGCACGAGATATCTGCAACTGTGTGGATGCCAGTCATCAGTTGTCGATCTTCATCTTTACCAGTCATTATATTAATCATGTTCTCTACTAAATATGCAGCCCCGTACTTTTTTTTAAAAAAAAGGTTAGCATTCATGTTTGAAGGTACTGCTTTGACTTTACTCTGCCTTGGAATGCCTTTGATATCACATCTTGGTGACTGACAAGTTGTGAGTGGCAAATTACGCATGAATAGTAGACATTTACTGTATCAAAATAACCAGGATGACTTTTTGTCATAAAGAAGAAAGGAGAAAAAATAATAATAATAAAAAAAAAAGAACAAAGAAAAGAATGGGAGCTAAAATATTTATTGCATACAAAAATGCCCTTTTTTCCCTTAATGAAGTGCTAAAATAGCACTCACAAATTTTCCAACCTTATCTTCATCTTGTCGAGCCATTTCAATAATCATCAGCAGTTTCTTGATACCAATGGCTATTCTGTCCTCGATACTTGACTGTCGAAGATAAGACATGGCTTGATTATGTTCTGCTTCCGTGAAGAGGTCGACTGTCTGTAATACAATTTCTATACCTTCTATAGTGCTAATAGGTGGTATGTAGATCTCATTTGAAAATTCAGGTATCATGCCCATTTCATCCAAGATATGACGCTGTGAAGTAGTTGCGAGAATCAACAGACGACGATCCTTTGGTGGCTTCTTTTTCAGCAAGACCAATAAGGCTTGCAAGACACCATTTGAGAAACGTGGTCCAATAGGCACATAGTCAAGTAGTCGTTCGATGCCATCAATTACAATCACACTTACAGGTGATTTATATGAATCGTTGAATATCTTATTGATTTCATTTACTTTTGCAGACTCTGTCATTCCAACCATGGTTTCAGGAGAGATAAGTTTAATAAAGGGGAACTCACTCTTCATTGCGATTGTGGCTGCCAGGGCTGTCTTGCCACTACCAGCGGGACCTGAGAGCAAGACACTGACTAAGGGTGTACGACTCGATTGACGCACTTGTTCGACATAGAGTCGTCCATCAGCCAAGATTTGCTCAATAGCAGGTGTGTACACAATAATTGAGTTTTGAACACATTGCTTCAGTTCAGCTTCAGATACACCAAAGGATGGTTGTACTTCTTTTAGAGCATTCAAAAAGTCTTCCATACCAATCTTCATGTTTTCCATATCCGTTGAAATACCAGCCATTGTGCCCACCTTGATATGTCTGTTGAAAGCATACGAAGAGGCGGCCTTGACCACACCAGAGATTTCGGCACCACTGTAGTTCTTTGTAAGTTCTGCCAATTGCTCGAGGGATACATCAGGTTCGAGAACCTCATTTTCTCTCATTTTAGATGTATGAATCTTCAAAATCTGAAGACGACCTGCTTCATCAGGTAAACCAATTTCCATGTGCACTTCCAAACGACCAGGACGCAAAAGGGCTTCATCGATCATATCTTTTCTGTTCGTCATACCAATAATCAAAATGTTGTTGAGTTGTTCGACACCGTCCATCTTGGCCAAGAGTTGATTCACAACAGAGTCGCCTACACCCGTATCACCACTTCGCATACCACGTGCTTTACAGATGGCATCTAACTCATCAAAGATGATGATATGTAGGCCGGATTCTTCTCCCTTTTGCCTATATTCTTCTTCAGCATCAGCAAATAACTTGCGTACATTCTCTTCACTTTGACCCACAAATTTAGAAAGCACTTCAGGACCACTCACCACCTTGGGTTCCTTGGCGTTCAACATTTTACCGATTTGACGTGCCATCAATGTTTTACCTGTACCAGGAGGACCATAAAGGAGAATACCCTTGACATGCTGCACGCCGAGTTTCTCGACAAGTGCAGGAGGAAAGATACGAGATGCAAAGGCACGACGAAAGATAGCATTGAACTCATCATCTAAACCACCAATACCAAGATCTTCAAACTTGAAATCAGGCTTAATCAAGGCTTTAGGCTTCATACTATAACCAAAAAAAAAGGGGGAGATGAGCTTTGCGTGTTGTCATAATATTTCTGTCACTTACGCTTTTTTCTTTGATTCCTTCAAATTGACAAATGATCCCTCTGCCTTGGCAAATTCAAGTCTGGTATCACGCGTCAAGATACCACGTACTGCATCTGTCGTCTTTCTCTCCTGGTGAGGATCAATCTCCCCTTTCCTTAACATATTGAGATCAACTACATCTAAATCTGTCACTGTCGCTCTAAATTTGACCCCGCAGTATTCGAAAACAAAGTACTGCCCTCTATTGTATATTTGTCCGTGAAAGTTCTATGGATAAGTTAATATCATTTTGTTTTTGTTTAGTTTTCCCCCCTCTTACGATGGTGAAGGCTTGAACAAGATCTTCTTCCTTGTATTCTGTTGCCATTCTATTGCTCTTTGAATAAAATTCGATATCGAGTTTCATATAGGCAAGTTTGATGTCCAGACCATCTCCGTGAATTTCAATAGGCTCTACTGATACTTTATCGCCTAGAGAGAAACTAGCCCAACGACGATGATTTCCATTGATGCCAATTTGACCTTTCTGCATATTTCTGTCTGGTCTGTTTTTTGGTTATTTATGTTCTTTTTTTCTCTCTACATTGTCTTGTTACCTGATTGTAAAAGCAAATTCACCATTGACAAGAACATGGTGAATACGAGGATCAAGAACACCAGGAGCAACATAAGCATAATTAGTAAGTGCAGCAGCATCGCTTGGACACTGAGCTACTTCTAAATAACCTCCCTGGTCCTTTTCAGAGTGATGATTGTCGTAACGATAATAGTCCATTGCCGTTTAAGCAAAGTAATAAAAAAGGAAAGGCAAATTCATGTTTAATTGTGTTGAAAGGCACTCCGATGTAACCAGTGATGATTGGACAATAGGTCACACAAGCAAACAAAGGGCAGATCAGATATGAAAAACAAGAGACTACTGTTGTTGTATTAGATTTATTTAACAAAGAGTAAAGCGCCTGATGTATCTTTATAGAGAGAGAAACAGAGATAGCTCCTTTTATGGATCTGAAGGCTAACGTGGCGCTACCCTTATAAGGGGATCCGTAATTGACATCATAGCCACTGTTAGATTCAGAGTAGAATTGTGATATACGTGGTTCTTTTGGGACAATACAAGAGATAAAAGGATATGAAGACCATGATAGAAGCGCTATTGACTATAGCGTGGCTATTCCTCATGCTTTCACCGAAAAAGGAGATGACTAGAAATAATAAATCATGTCAAAAGGGAGATAGAAAGAAGATCGCGATAAGGGAGATTTAAGTTAATTGAACACTGCAAGCAGTAAAATATCTTATTTTTATTTAAAATATATTTACAAAAACAAAGAAAAAAATACATTCCGTTAACAAAAAGAAAAAGAATTAAGCCAACATACTCTGCCGTTTCAAGAAGCTCGATTTCTGTGGCATAAAGCGAAGGGATGATAAAGAAGGCGCTAGTGAAAACGAAATTCGTTTCTTTTGTGGAGACTGTTCTGTCATTGCCGATCTGTGTTGATCAATAATATCGTGCTTGTTTTTTGAGTCCAGGATGTTTCTTGCACTTGCTTTTCCGACCGTTGAGCTTTTGAATGCCATTCGATGAAGCTTACTTGATCGTGGCTCATTTAATATATCTTCCTTATCATCTAGATCTTTAAAGCCACAATGAGATGGTGCAAGATTGTCGTGTCCACGGAGACCCTTCTTGCCAACCGTAGCATAAATCGTTGTCTTGTTGTATGTATTGGGTTGGATCATTTGACATTCTCTTTCTTCATATAGATTATCCCGTTGAAGTCTGTCTAAAAATACAGAAGATGGAGAGTATGGTACAATAGTCGATTGCGGTCTAGTGTTCTTTCTAGTGATCTGTTTAGATGTCTTGGCCGTACTGTTATTATTTTTAGAATGCTCTAGTATGGCTGGTAATCCTTGTTGCTTTCTTTTGCTAAAGGTGCCCTGATGGTCCAGACAGGGCGGTTCTACCTGATCTACCTTTGCTCGGACAACGTTCGGATCGTGCGGAGAAGCGATAGGCTGTTTGAGAAGAGAAAGACGGTTGAAGGAGCTACTCAGGAAAAATCGGTGGCTCTTTGAAGATGTCGAAGCAGATGCGCGCGGCTTGGGAGCCTCAGATAGACGACTGTCTGACCTTCCTAAATGGTGAGGACTACTCTTGTTATGATGCCTAGTTTGAGTGCTGTCAGAGGGTCGCATTGCCTTTTTAAGAAAAGTGCTGAAGGAAGCTTTAGGTGCAGGAGAGGCTACGTCAAATTCCTGATTTGAGTGCAAAAGTAGGCTTTTTCGTTTGCTAGAGCTTAATGGTGTTGATATACTAGACATTCGTGGTCGTAGACATGGAAAAGCTATATACCGCCATTAGTTATAGACTCAAGAAAAATCATTTACAAATGTTACCTTCTTTCAAGGCTAAAGGTGGACCCTTTTGCTTATTAGCGTTGATCCAAGTCCTTAATTGGGTATCTGCCTCCATAAAATGTTTATATTTCTCTTGGTATAACCGAATGCGATCCTCAATCATCATAGCGCAAAGACTATCATATTTTGATGGAGAGCAAGTTGTGGATCCGTATTGCTCTTCATGAGCTCTTCTTGTAGAATATTTTATAAATGAAGTCTTCTTTTTCTTCAGGTCATCATTCACGTGATGAATTGGAGAAGCAGAGTCTTTTTTGTGTGTGTATAGCATTGTCTGTTGTTGTTTATTCTCCAAGTTATAATTGTCGTTTTAGGAAAGTAAAAGAAAAAGAAAGGAAAAGAGAAAAGTAGCTTTTACATACGTTTTTTTCTACTATATTTATAAAAACTCCTTAATCACCAAATGAATCACTCTTTGGGTCATTATCACTGTTACACTCTGTTTGCGGCCTCCTGCATAACTTTTTTTCTTTTGGGTAAAAGGTCATCTGTCCCCTACAAGACCTGATGAGGACCTTACTTGAATAGTTACCCTCTCATCTTACCTCCCCTTCCCCCTCCTCCTAAGATTAAAAGATTGACCTGTTTCAATCACATAGAACCGATCGGCTTCAAAATAAAATCTATATACACCACGCATTCTGATGTGCTATCTCCTGAGTTTAATATACTAAACCAGTATAGATGTATATACATGGAAGGAGGGAAGGGTATGGTTTATGAATCTGTTTACTGATTCTCCATTGTATGTCAATTGTTACGTTATTTTAACAATGTATAGCACCTGCATTTTATTTTCTGCCTTTGCATGTAGGACAAACCTTTGTAGTGAAAACGCCCATCTCTAGTTGCAAAACATTAAATAAAAGGTAATAGACATGAAATATAAAGACAGAAAAGAAAGAGAAGAGAAGAAGATGTTATTGAAGATATGTTTTAGAGAACAATAAATGGTCATAAACACAAAACATAAAAAAGGTGAAAAAGGCTGAATATTTATTGACAAATCCGCTTAATGAACTCACGATACTATAAAAAGGAGTAACAAGGCATCAGGCAAAATGGTAAAAGCGAGGAGGTTCTGGAATTAAGCTGTAGGATGGTTTCACGCCCGTGCACCATGTATGATTTAGAACATGCACCAGATGATTTCATACTTCTTTGTTTAAGCTGTAACATCATTACTTTAATGAATAACTTCATTTTGCAAAAAATAGCCCCTCTTTGCAGATAGCAAACAAGTTCTTTACATGAAAAGGGGAAAATAGGAGAAAGTAAAAAAAAAAAAAAAAAAGTTCTATATTTGGATTCAAAGCCATAGTATTTAATACAATTTTCCTATAACAGTAGCTTGTTTAAAAATATATTATATATGAGGAGTTTAGGTGACATATGGTTCCTTATCCAACACATGTCCTTTAAATGGCGGATGATGAAGATAGATCAGCTGCTGGATCTTGATCACTATCAGGCTTAGTGCCATACTTGGCTTTAGCACGTTTTGCTCTGCGCGCTTTTTGTTTTGCTATCTTTGCCGCCTTTTGAGCCACCTTGCTCAGTGGACCGTTCTCCAATTCGTCCAATTTTTCACGTAGTAGCTTTCGAGCTATACCTCGATTATCAGCAAGTGACCGTGATTGTTGACACTAGTCTATTTAGTATTTCATCCTTTCCTCCCCCCTTTTTTAGTTTACCTGAACTCGGATACCAGTAGGAATATGACGCAAGTCTACACAAGTCGATCGTTTATTTATACATTGGCCACCAGGACCAGAACCTTTTACAAATGTCTCAATCAAATCTTCATCTCTTAAAATGATCTTTTTCCGTTCTTGTTTAGTCGCTTTGACCGCGAACTGTCTTGTGTTTTGTAATAATGGAGTTAATCTGACAAGAGATGTAAATGTTGATAAAAGTGACATGTATATATTTTTTATGAAAGAAAAAAGCCCATGTTTATAATGTGACTTTTATCACTCTTCTTCTTCCAAGACTTCATACAACACTCGAATCTTGAGTGAACAATTGTTGCAGCCTACAATGTCAATGCCATGTTCAAGGTCTATTTCTGTGATTATGTAATCTCCAGAACAACGACATTCATAAAAGTAGCTTCTATCTTCTTCTGCATATTCCATATCATCCAAATCAATCTCGGCACCGATAGCTAAATCGTTTTTGTTTCTTTTGCTTTCAAGCTCGATATCGTATTTTTTACGGCTCTCAGCATTCCTTAGCACTTCCCATGCTTTCAAGACCTTTTGTGCTGTATAATTGTTTTCATTGGTTGATTTGTCTGGATGATGCTGTTGTTTAATCATGAGACACTCTTTCTTCATTTCTGTTGCATGTTTTTCTTACTTGTAATATTAACTGGTGAAATCTTTGTTTTATTAAGTCAAGAGAAGCAGTTTCGCTCACTCCAAGAACTTCATAGTAAGTTGTCATTATTAGATCTATAAAATGGGCGTACGTAAAAAAAAGAAAAATAAATATTCACAAAAGGGGTGGCTTTTAAGGCAATGTAATAATGTAAGCAAAGTGATGGTTTAGCGGAATATAAATCAACTCTTCCATACAACACCATCTTGCTCTGTCAGTACTTCAGCCTTGCGATCCAGTATGTCCTGTACTTTTTCTTTTACTCCCCACTTTCCTCTATGTCCACTGACAAACCATGAGATGATATCCTCCTGTGCCTTTAATCTGCCTTCGAGTTTAAACTCTGGGCCTTCCCCTGTAATCGCCAGCCGAACGTCTTCCTCGGTTGGTAATGAATATCTGGCATAAGGATAGTGTCTAAGGTCTTTTTTTGATGACAGTATTAGTTGATTGGGCGCTGGTTGATTAAAATAAAGCTGATCTATCTCTTCATCTGATATATCTCCTAATCGAGAAGGTTCCCATCGTGGCTTTCGTCTAGGTTTACTCAAAAACATAGCCTCTACACCTTCATGAAAGTCTCTAGTTACTAAAAATTTTTGAATAAGATCAAACTCCATTTTTAAACAATCGACCAGCGACATGGATCGGCCCTTTCTTAAAGCCTTTAGTGTGACCTTCAAACTTGTTGGCGATAAAGATAGTAGTTTCTGTTTGGTTTCACGCGTCCAAGCGGTTGATTTTTCTTGGTCAAGGGCGTTGATGATATCTTCTATGGTATCATGGGCAAAGCATCTAATGGAGGGTTATCATAAACATTCCATCTTTCTTTTTTTCTCCATACCTATCAATAACTTCTCTAACCTCTTTCTGAAATCCAACCTTGTTGACTGATTTTGGTTCAACAAACTTTTCCAACACTCTTTGTATGATTTCATGTTCTGAAGTCTCCAAATCAACTAATCTATCTTCTAAAGCAGGGATCCTTGAAGAAGGAATATAATGTGTTGCAATTCCAGAAAAGCTACCGAGTATAGAAAATAAAGGTTAAGAAAAAGAGCATCATCATATATATAAATTGCGCAACAATTACTTTACAACGTATCTATTCCTTCCACTCTGCTACCGGTTAATGCCAAATAAGTTCCAATTTCACCATCCAAACGAGGTAGATAAAAGCTAGAGCCTGAGCTTAGAAAGGCACCTATGCTTGTCTCTGGTAGGGCAAATATGGTTCTCTCTGTTGCTATTCTGAAAGGTCCATGTATGAATAAGCCTAAGGCTCCACCTACTTGATATGGCTATTAGATTTATTCATATAAACACAATGACGCTTACATGCATAACCGTCTAAAATAGATATGTAGGGTGTTTGAAGTGTTGCAATCATTTGCACTAGACTAAATTTATCCTGAAAAAAGTATAACGCATCTGGATCCCTTGCGTTTGCCTTTTGTAAAATGTCTATGAATAAAAGGGTTTTTAGTATGGGAATGCTGTATATAATGTATTTAACATTACCTAATATATCATCTCCTACACTAAACTTCCCTTTACCCGTACTTTTCATAATAATGACTTTAGCCAGGGTTGATACCTCCCAGGCCTTCAGTTGAGGTCCAATATTCCTTATCATGCTCAGATTTAATGCGTTTAATTTTTCAGGTCTGTTTAGCACAAACATACGAGCACCAGATAACTTTTTGTGAAGGACATGTGTCTGTGATAGGGATAAGATATGTAAGGTCATTCATTGTTTATAAATCGCTTACTTCTGGTAGCTCTTCTTCAAACTGATGCTGAAGTTCTGTTGAGATCTAGTTCTAATATAGTAAGTGGAAAAGTCCCCCTTTCTTTTTTAAAAAAGTTCTTTACATGACGATGAATGATGTATTGTGAACATCTTGTAGTCGCAGATAATTTATGTATCGACTTTGGTTTAAGGCGTATCAAATAATTCATTTTGAAAGTGAGATAAAGATAGAGAAAGAAAAAGAGAGGGGAAAAGGAAAATAAAAAAGAAAAAGAGAATGTGTGAAACGTAAAGACATCAAAGAAAGAGAGACAGTTTTATATATAAAAAAAGTCTTGCTTCTTATTGTAAAATCTCTTTTTTCCTTTATCATTTCAAGTTGCCTATTTACTCTATATGCAATCTTTAACTAAAAGACTCATGAATAGATAGTAATGTATTGTTCATTTTATACTTACCGAGGCGTTAAGAAATGTACTACCGTTATGGACAACGCATTAAACCCAGGAGCACCGTAAGTCTTTTGAAGGTCTTTTGAAGGAGGGAGGACTTTCATTGTCGTGTTTTGATTTGTAAACAAAGATACCATATATATTTAATGCACTGTTCACATCGCCATCCCACACTGTACCACAAGGTTCGCACTTGAGGACAGAGTGCACTCTTTGTTTTGGTCCAGTTTGAATAAGAGAAGTAGATTCACAAAAGGTCTTGAAGCTCTTCTTGATACTATCAGAGGCATGCTTTCTTTGGCCAGCAAAGGTGAAAAATATATTATAGAACAGATTTTGAGTGATCATAGGTAATTCTTCACCATTTTCACGAAGTTTCAAGAAATAGTAATTAGCAAAAATGGATCCAGCATATAACAATTGAGTGATATGGTCAACCACTTCTTGAATCAAGGTAACAAACTTGGAATATTTGCAAGTATTAGCCAAAGATGTCTTGGTTACAATAGTTTTCTCGACAGTATCCTTGGGCTTTGGAAGCTTTGTTTTTGATTTATTCATAGAACACACCTTGCTGGAGGAGCGAGAGTGATCGGTTCCACTATAAGAAGGACATCATACTTGTTTTTGCTCATTGCCTGTCGTCTTATTATTTTCTTTTTCCTTTTTAAGTGCTTCAGCCATATCAACCTTGTCTTGATATTTTTTGGAGCTCTTGATGGGAGCAGAAGTACAGCTAGTAGAAGGAATAGGAGCAGGTAATACATCTTGAACACACGTATCTTTATTGTCTGTAGGCATAGATACCTTGTCACCGATAACAACATTTGAAAGGCCAGGAGCAGATGTGTCTTCTTTAACAGCTTTCAAAGTAGTACGAATGTTCTTGCCTATTACAACGCTCAGTTATAAAACAGATGGAACTAATATATGTTATCTTTACCTTTTCTAAGTAACGGAGTTTCTTGAAAGTCATCATCACTTGCTTCAAAAGCTATATTTTTGAATAAATTTGTTTACATTTATGCAAACAAAGAAGGGAGCCCGCGATTGACGACTAAATGGGCCCTTAATAAATCTCATGTCAACTCTGTAGCTTACATACCTTTCCCTTTATTGCGCTTTGCCTTTGGAGATAGAGAGTCATCATCTTTCTTTCGCTTCATGTTGAAGTAAAGAAAAAAGGAAAAAGGAAAGGTAACTGCGGATAGTTTTGTCATGTTAAATTAACGATCGACAACATTGTCTTTATTAATTAATTATGTTTAAAAGTAAAATGTTTTTCGAATGAAAAGTCGCTCCACTTTTGACATACTGCACACCCTGCTATGGTTTCCAAAGTATTCATATTTATAAAAGTGATGGGATAAGAGTAATAAAATAGTACAGGAATCATTTAAACACCAGGAACAGTGATTGGAGAAGTAGTGTTAAAGAGGGAAAAGAAGAAACACAAACCCTAATGATGCCCATATGTTCCATGATGAAATATCAGTACGTAATTGGTACACACGTATACAGCATGCGTCTGGTTGATACGTTGAAAATGCTGCTCAAAATCATGTCTTCAACGGAGACTATCAATTCTAGTGCTGCTTCTCAAGGTACGAACGATGCCACGGAAGCTTTTGTCGCTATACTCAATAGGAATAACTACAGTAACTTCTTCCATTGTTGACAGGTTGCAAGTGTGTCTATCCGCCTCCTTCAATCAAATTCATTCTCATTGATGAATTGATGATAATATAAGGCGATCTGCTTTCGGCAGAGCCATTGTTATTAGATATATCCTCGCTGTTGATGCTGGAATTCTCATGGTTGCTCAATATCTCATATGCATGATGACAAATGCGTACGAAGGGATTACATTGGGCAATCACAGTTAAAAGGTTTTCTATAATCTCATTGTCCAGATTTTCATTTCATGCGATCCGAAAGGGCCTTTTCCCAAGCTGACGAACAGCTCTAGTTACCCTACATTTGATACCAGAGATTAGCCACATTACCTTTGGGCCTCGCGACAATCTATTCACCTTGGGATCTCAGGTGTCAGCACCTGATAGATTTGACAGCGCCTCTTTTTGGATAAAAGATATATCCTCAAATTTACTTTCCTCTATCCATTTTTTTATTGGAGCTCTCGTTTTCTGTTGCGTGGTTTCGTTTCTTATGCGACACTTTGTTGTATACTGAAATAACTTCGGCACCATTATCAAGATAGCATTTTGAATTTTTTCTCTTACTGGACCTGTTCGCGGACAAAGCATTGGTAAGAAACTGTTTAGGGAATAAGATCGCTTTGCTTGTTGATGATAAAAAGGTACCGGCTACCCAATTTGGGTTGCAATACTTACCATTGTTATCATCCGATTCCTCATGACTAAACAACTTTCCAAATGAAAGGAGCTGATCGCAATATGCTTGATTTGACAAAGAGGCAACAGTTTGACAAGTTCTTTTAAAGATTATCAATTGACGTATCCACATGATTCAATGTCTGCGAAAAGGCTAAATTTGTTGCTAAATGAAAGATCATAATCAAGACAGTTGACATAAAATCCGCGATCAAGAAAGTTCAAAGTGGATGTAATAGCTTGTAATCCAAATATCTGTAGGCTTTGCATACTGATGATGCGTTGTTTGGTGATTTTTCCTGACATTACAATGTCATCAATAGTACATTTGGTTTCGGCTGCAAGTTTAAACTTGTCACTGGCAACCTTTCCAAAATTAGTGAACGCTCTAGCTGATTCAACGTGACATATATCTACTACTCTTAATACTTGACACGCGATTCTTCCTGTTGCAATCAACAAAAGAATTAGCACATCAAAGAATAAATTCAATGGTTATATCCCTGACGATGACCCCTTGAACAACGTGGTGTTGTTAAGAGAGTAGAATCATAATCAGCCACAGGTAAATTCATCAAGCATGTTGATACAAGTTATGTAGTAGATTTTCAAATCATTGACTAAAATATCATTTTAGCGGGAGCTTTATAAAGAGTCCCAAAATTATTGACCTGTCTTTTTGATAATATAAAACACTTCTATCTACGTTGAAACCAATAGTGTAGGGCTTGTTGTTGTTGTTAATGCGCTTGACTGCTGTTGTGGTATCAGTAGAGGTTTCTCCCCATTTGATGTACAATTCCTTGTCATTTCCAACCATCAACTCCAAAACTTCTTCTCGTAGTTTTATCATAAAGTCAAATTCACTGACTTTCCCTGTTGGATTTGTGAATACATGTGAATGTTTTCTGTATGCATTGATTCTAAAAACGAAATGCAGTTTAGAAGTTAATATATGTTGTAATATCGTAATGATTGTATAGAGGGTTTCTTATATCTAATTAAAAATAAAAGAAGCTATACTTACACATAGCCAAGTACTCTAAAGATCCATTTATTGTTAGGGTGAGCGCTTCTCACACTCTTTAATGCCATATAATAAGCCTCTTCTTCTTCATTACTCTTGATTTGGTTTATGATATCTTTTATTTTTTCTTTGGTGCTGTTGTTGAGTTTAGGAAGATGATTTGTCTTCTTTGATCCAAAATACTCATTGAGATAGCTCTATTGGTCATTTGCGAATAACTTTTTTTGGTTCGATTCATTGTTATTGCCTAAGTCCAATCTTTCATCTATACAGAGACCACACACCGCCTGTTCCTCCTTGGGAAACGAGCTGTATCTCTGGAAAGGTCCTTTTCCATATGACTTGCATATTGTTGCAATCGATTTATCATTAAAAAATAGCAAACTGTCACCTTTGATAACATTCTACAAATAAGAAGATGTATGAGTGGATACTTTATAAGACATATCAATTTTATCTATCACGTACATAGTCCGCGTTTGCTTATGGACTATTCACTGACATTGCATTGCGTGAGCTTGATGATCTGCTTCTTTCGTATGTCTTCTTATGATCTTGTGCATAGTCTACGTTTCTTAGTCCCTTGTTGTAGTACTGTTGCTTTTCATTGTATAATAACCAGAGCTAGTCGGCCTCTTGGGTGTTCATCATCTATGTAAAGAGAAATAATATACATATTAGATAGCTGTGTTACTATATCCAAATCAGATTCAATTTAGTATCACAGGTAAGCCATAGTTTAGCTGATCTTGAATCCACTTGGTGGTTGAATCTTCAGATGTGTGGTATGTCTCGAATAAATAAAGAAGTATTAAGAGAAATGCCTGTCGATGAACCTCTATATATCCTCTTTACTGTATATTGAGACGAGAGAGAGCCCATTATTACAAACAGCGTCGTTTTATATGAAGACAGAACTATTAAGAAACCAATTTAATTATGGCAAATAATAGTTGAGCATGTTGCGTTATATGCTAATAACATATATTGCTGTCAGTCTCTTTGTGTTATTCATGCTTAGAGTATAGATTTATAGTAATCTCATACGACAATATACGTTTGGCGCTGAATTTTTAAAATAGGTTATTTCGAAAGCGAAGCAGACCTGAAGCATCACGAGCTGTACACCGATTTAGTGAAGGGTATTTGAAGGAAAGGTTAAAATCATCAGAACGCGGCGGTGCAGTAGAGCTCGTTGTTGAGTATAATCTGGTATACGGTATATCATCAGGAGTAACTTCATGTGTCACTCAACTGGCCTTCTTTTTTGGTTTATCTTCTCTTTCTTTCAGCAATAATAGATAAATTTAACTACTTACCTCAAGAAACAAACAACCAAACCTTGGCTTTGCTTCCAGAAGAGAGTCATGATAACCAGTATGAGGCTTGGTTAACGGATTGTTTTACTACTCCATATGAATTGACATGCAGTGCTCAATAGTGCAAGAGACCTGTTCCAGTTTAATGAGCATTTGATCGTCGATTCAATTCCACAAGAATGACAGAATATTTACAGTGTGTCGGACGTATATATCCGCAGCATGTGTACCCATAAGATACATTCTCTAGAGCGTGCATCGACCGTGACTTATGGCAAGTAGGAACTTAGTGCAATGGTAATCGTTTAGCAGACTTCTTTTTTAAAAAAAGGCCTCAAATGCATAAAGGGGCATGTAGCTATAGGATGCACTCTTTCTAATACATTGTATTTCTCTTAACTTGAAATTAATCTGTGTGTTCTTCATCTTGTCTTTCAAATTGTTTCTTGCATCCTGTACGTCATTTTAGTACACTGCTCATTTCTTGACCAATCGTCTCATTGGCTTACACATAGTTTGATAAACTCGGATGACTTGCCGTTATCAGGCAAGGTCCCTGAGCTATGAACATCATACGAAATTAGAAATGGTAAACAGATACACTTGTTCTTCTTTCCTTTCGCTAAGTCAGGTATGCGACAAAACAAAGGTTAAGAATATATTTACTACCTGTGAGAACAGGATGGCCATTTTTATAATCTATTTGGTGTTGCCGAAGTATGCCATACATCAAAGTCAGCTACGTTTTATACCCTATTGTCCGCCGACGTTAATCTCTATACTGCTTTGGGCGTCTTGTCCTTCTCCGGTCAGTCGGCAGATAAACATGTGCAACCTTAAACCGGACCGTCATCGGTTAATTAGAAAAGATGATAGCTTATCCTGTGTCAGCGAATGAAGATACGTTAATTTATATAAAAATAGATGTGATCTAAAAATGGGTAGAGTTGAATATGATATGCGTCAGTTAATTTCATGTGATTTTCTTGTTATTTTATACAATTTAAGCGTTAGATTATCTCATGTTTAAGAATTCAAAAGACTTTCTTTTGCCTTCAAGTTGTCTAACGTTCTAAAGAATAGCCTGCTTTGTTTCAAGCTGACTTCAAGAACAGTACATCTACGCTATTGAGAGACGAATGGAATTCAAACATTCTTAATATTCTTGTTATTGAACACTCACGAGGAATATCCATTCTTAGCATTTCCATGATGAGACCCATTATAAGAATTCCAACGATTGATAAATTATTGGTTTGACTGGGACTATGTGCTTAACAAGCTTGCAAAGCATATCTCTTAGCGTCTTTGGTAGTTTTGACCAGTCGTTCATACGCTTATCGTATGCAATGGTAACAGTATACCTTCCAACTTCACATAATCTCAGTTCTTTGTTGTCGACTTTGAACAAGGGACCGATTGACATTTATTCCAAGTGTTACTACAACACTGTCGAGTTCACCAAGCTTTCCTTGAATGCAGTTATCTCTGAAAAGCTTGTATACAAATGGATACAGTCCATGCAAAAGGCTGACCTTGGAATAATCTTCAAATTTTAATTGACTACCATTGCTAAAGTTTTCAGAATCTGCTATCAGATAAGAGAATATGCTTTTTAGCTTTATACATATTTGCAGAACTCTTTTCCTATCGGCGACTCCTTATCATATGAGTTGGTGTACTCTCATAATCTCTATGGGAACTTGTCCAAGAGCTTTGTATTGTATCAGCTGTAAAGTACCTTTTCCAGATTGCATCATCCAAATTCAGTATCATTCGAATGCACTGGATGCTCAAAAGAAGAAATCTTTACCGGATGCTTTCATTTTATTTTCTACTACAGCGCTGGTCGACAAACGTCACCTGTCTTTTTCTTGAGTATTATCGTATTCGACAATCGCCCTTTGCTTCTCCTCTCGTGAAAGACTGTAGTTTGACTTTGGAGCATTAAAAGAAGAGGAAGTTTGGCGTTCCTTGAGTGTTGCTTCAATATCGAGCCATATATCTTCTATTGGATTTAAGTCCCTGTATTGTTGTCTTTATAAAAGACGAGTAAGCTGATGCCAAGCAAAGTAGAAAGAAAAGAGCAAGACATAAAAGGAGAGCTTTATAGGAGTCAATGGCTGCTTATTTAAAATGTTGTCTTTTGATGTACTATAGACAAATAAAAAGTAGAATAAAGTATGATTTACTAGACGTGTCAATCATATATATTTTAAATACAATACGTTTCATTGTCATACGTTACCATCTGCTTTAGATAGGATAGCTCTTTAGGGTAATTTCTTCAATGAGCGTAAATTGTAGAAATGTTCTTGTTCCACTATGCTGTGAAATAACCAAATTCTTCAAATTTGCAAAGTTCAAACTATTATTAGCTTGATTAGGTATTGATGATATGGTTTTTATGCATATTGAAATCATGAATGCAAATCGCAAGTATATATTACTGGATGCATTTTATAGTAAAGAAATAAACAATGAACAAGGATTGAGAACACGTTGCATGTGTATTTTAACCTAATTTCTTGGCTGATACTCAACTTAATGCGTGCATTTCTTTTTTTCGAAATGCAATTAATAAAAACCCATGATCTTAGATTTAAAGAAACTCAAGCATCTCATTTTAGGTTACATTAATCAATTAAGAAAGGAGAAAAAGAAGCTAATTCAATGATTAAATTGGTTATTTATTAAACATAGAAAAGCGTGTATATTGAACCATGTTCCCAATTAAATAATATCAATTGGAATTGATGTTCATTGTCTATGGTAGCTCTTACTTCCACTATAGTTCGGAAGCTCTTTTATTTGGCAAGTAACGTGATTATTCTTTTTAGGCGGTCAAATAACAATACTCCGCTGCAGGTCAATCGGATATTCAAATGTATGAAGTGATGAACCTTGATTGTTGTCTTACATTTGGCGCGCGCGTGTCTATTTGTGTAGCATAACAAATTAAGTCGGTTATTTCCTTGACGACAGGCCCGCTCCTTCAATAAACCCTTTCCCCCTTTTTTTCTTTCTTCTTACGCACAATGGCCGTAAACATTCAAGCTTGAAACTTGAATTGGGGCCTGCATATTCATTCCATTGTGATAATCTTTACGCCCTCAATTTTTGCGCCATATGTTGAAAGTAAGGTTGCGTTCAAGTGAGACGGTTAAAAGTTTGGTGACTCAAAGTGGCGTCAGTAACAGCTATTTTAACAATTTATGAGGGTGCATATATTAATATAAGAGTGTCTATATTCTCAATGGATGAAAAACTCAACAGACTTATGATAACTATTAATAAACTTGTTGAAG